GAGTTTATTCTTAGGGTGTTTCTATATTTTATTTAGAAATAGCTGAGAGAAGTTAACAGACAACAGTCCAGATTCCCTTACATGGATAGTTGGTTTTCAAAACGTCAGAAATCTACAGAATTGATGTTACAAACATTTCTATATTAAGGTTCATTTTGATTAGAGACCTGTCTGCTCCTGACAGCTTCCTGTCTTGGATTCTAAGAAGAAATTGAGCATCCTTGGAGTACTCCAGTTGTGGTGAGACAGCCACTAGGCAAGAATTGCCTCTTTTCATCTACAGACAAATTACTGTCCTGAAAAGGACACACTTGCAGGATAGTCGACTGATTATATCTGCCAAGACATAGTAATCAGCCCTTAATAATTCTGCATCACTAGGTCTATCAGATGATCCTGGGCCAGAAGGCTGAAGATCAGATGCTCCAACATTTTGTAGTATAGGGACTGTCCACGTGTTCAGCAGTCTCTATAAATTGGCTAAGTTTTAGAAGCTATGCTTTGTGCTTCCCATAATTTCAGTTAATTCAGTCATTCTGGATTTCCAATCCCAGCTATTTACTTTGAGACAAAAGACTTGAGAGGATGGTTTTCATCTGACATTCATTCTAAAGCCAAGAAAAAAGACAGGTTCAGAACTAAGTCTTTTAGTTAGGAGAAATGACAGAGGTTCTGGTTAGTCAACAAAATGATGGACTGGGTATTAGGTCTATCTTGTATCTTACTGATACAAATTGGTATAGTTATGCTTTAATTGTATTTTGAGAGAAAAGTTTTATCGTAACAGGAAGGGTGATATGTAGGAGGAGCTAAGGTGGGAGGAGTAAGGAGAGGAAGAGGAGGAGTAAGGAAAGGACGAGCTAGGAGATGAGAGAGAGAGGGGGGAGAGGGGAGGGGAACATGGAGGCAGATGTTCGTGTGTCTCCGCCAGTCAAAGATAGTTGGTTGGTATAGGGTTACACTTACCCTAGGTAAGTGATAGGTTGGGTATTGGGTTACACTTCCGATTGTATGGGCATCTTGTTGTTGAGCATTACCAAACTTATAAAGCCTTTGATTAACATTTTAAAAAAGTTACTAATAAAAATAAAAGAAAAAAAAGAAAATGAGAACTAGAGCAAAAAGACCTAAGACATCCCAGAGAGGAGAGAGAGAGAGAGAGAGAGAGAGAGAGAGAGAGAGAGAGAGAGCGAGCAAATGACTTGTAGAAAGAAGCCCATTAGGGAATCATAACTTAAAAGGCAATGAGGTAGGTAGGTACCATTACATGCCTATTAGAATAATCAAGATCTGGGCTTAGGAGATGGATCAGTGAGCAAAAGCACTGGCTGCACAAGCATGAGGAGCTGAGTTCAAAGCTCTTACACTGTCTGGGGTGGAGACAGGAGACTGGCCACATCCTGACTTAGGTTAGCGAGACTTTGTCTTCAAGAGAAAAAGCATGATAGAGCAGGACACCCAATGTCCTCCTCTGGCCTCTCTGAACGCCCAATTGTACACACTTACCCTCTCATGCACGTATGCACACACAAACTCTTAGTTTGCTTTCTGTGTCTGTGGTAAAGACCATGACCAGAAACAACTTGGGGAAGAAAGGGTTTATTTGGCTTACACTTCCACATCACTGTCTATCATCAAGGGAAGACAGGGCAGGAACTCAAGGCAGGAACTCAAGGCAGGAACCCAGAGGCAGGAACTGAGCAGAGGCTATAGTGAAATGCTTCTTAATGGTTTGTTCCTCACGATTTTCTCAGCTTGCTTTTCTAGATAACCCCAAACCACTTTCTCAGGGGTGGTACCATCCACAGTAAACTAGGTCCTCCAACAATAGTCATTTAAAATAAAGGATCTGAGGTCACACACACAGATCCGCTGGGGCAAGGGGGCTGTGTGTGCTTCAGAGCCTATGTGTCAGATATTACACTCATGGTGGTTGAATAGAGTCTGTCACCTTTTTACATGCACCATGCCATTTCCTATTCCAGCTATCTTCTTCAATATGTGGATCACATCCTCCAAATGGAAACTCATTAGTGGGCCATAATCTGCAGCTGGAAACCTCCTGCTGTGGTCCATAGCAGGGCACCTGGCCACAGTAATTCCCCAGCACCCATTCTCCACCACAGGACTCCTCAACCTTCCTTTTTCTTTGCTTCAAACTGGACCAGCAGTGGGCACAACCCAGCCTCTCCCACATGTGAACTGACAGCTTTAGGGCCGCTCAGAGCTTTCTTCGAGCTGGGGAGCTGATGGAGCTGAGAGAGGATACCCACTCTCTCTGATTGAGGTCATTAGGAGACATCGGGCAGAGGAGCCTCAGCTAGCTTTCATTTCCAAAGGCTGGGCTGGAGGAGGGAGATTGCACAGATAAGGGAATGCTATGCTCAAGACTAATACTATTTCTGCTTGGCTGGTAGCCAAGCTCCTTAACCCTTCCTGATACTGGAGCCTGAGAGACAATCCACAGGTAGGTGGATCCTGCTAATGTGGAAAATGGCAATAGGGGGATGTGCTTACTAATTGTAATTTGTTATCATATACATCTTCTATAGGCATTCTCTGCATTATATCTGCGATTGCTACCCTGGAACATCACATTTTATGCATGGAAACATGGAGATACAGAAGCCAAAGCTGCTTGCACAGTCTCAGCACAGCTGGGAGGGTGAATGCATGGAATGGCTTTACTTTATGAAAGAGATACTCAAAGGTCTTAGGGGAGAGGCATCAGGAACCTCAGCAACCAGGAGCCTTGGTTTGTGGTGTGCCTTGTCGGCCTTGGGTCTACATGCTGGGCTTCTAGTGGACAGCCTCTCCTTTCAGCTTCAGCTCATTCTGGGATCAAAGCATTGATGGATGTCACTTCTGCTCAGGAGTCCACATCACTCACGGATCCTGCATCTTGGTCCTGGGCCATTTGTGGTAAGAAAGTGACTTTATACTTTTATCTAGTGTCACAGCTCTGATGTTTACCCATTGATTGTTGGGTTTTCTAGGTAGAGAGCAGTCATTTGCAGTGACTCCATCTGAGTCTTTCCTCTTGTGTCCTACCCCTTGCTTTCATGTGAGGGCTCAGGTCTCCAGTGCATGTTGTCAGTGGTAGTGTTGGTGGCAGCGCTGTCTTCTTTCTAACCTCACTGGCCTTTAAAGAGTCTGTGTGAAGAAAGTGTTTTTCTCATCAACCTTTTGAATTTAAGATGTTGATCTATTTTTGGTTTGCTGAGACTGTATCTGCTGCATTTCTTTACCAGTGAAGCTAGTGTTTGGTCTTTCCTCTTTAGTCAATTTTATGGGGAATGATGACATGTTTGACCTTGGACCAACTTTGTATCTCTAGGACAAACCTTACTTGGACATATTGCATTATTTTAAAATTGCCCAACCATTTCTCAAATGGCCCTAAATGTACTTCTGCCACTTTATATTTGTGTAAAGTGGCACTCTTAGCATTGATGATTATAAAATCAAAATATCCATCAATTCTACAGAGTGACAAGATGCTCTAATTACAGCACTGAATATTCAGGCAAGATTACGTAAAATACATAAACACATTCATTGCACAAGGATGCAAAGTTGCTTTCATCCTTAATAAATGGAAAGGCACATGTATGCCAAAGAATTGTTTTTAAATGCATTTATTATTATCAGTAAATGTTTGATTTGCATATCTATATGCCCAGGGTTATATAAAAAAATTTCTTGGTCCCAAATGGGAAAAGTTTAAGAAGCCCTACACTAATCACAGCTCAGACAATCCAGCACCTTCCTGTCTGTGAGAGCCACTGTGGAAAGAAGCCTACCTCTCTCTTCTGGCATTTCCACGAAGTAAGGCTTTCCTCTTCTCTACCTTTTCTTCCTCCTCCTCTTCCTCCTCCTCCTCCAAACGCAATCTGATGCTGCTCTGGAACTCACTGCTTGCTTTGCCAGTGGGAGGTGCTCCTATTCACAGGCACCCCTCCAGGGTGGTAAGCATCCTACAGAGCACCAGGACTTGCCCTGCCTCTTCTCCTGTGCACAGAGCACTAACTACTTAGCATATCTATGCGAGCATAGCTGAGCACTAGGCCAGAGAGGTGCAGGTCTGAGGCTTTATTTTAGACTGTAGCCTGAGCAGAGGCCTTTGTTCTCATCTTCATCAGGCTTAGGGGTACCTATCTACAAGGACAGAACAGAACTTTAGCCTTCTTGCTCTTATCTGTAAAATACATCACCAAACGCTGCCTGGAGTTTGGGACCTGGACTCTATTCTAGGCACAAAGGCCAAGGCAAACCCTCCACAATCTTTCCTGTGGGGGTATGGTTCCTACCAATCATACAGTCATGAGAGATCCAGCTCTCTCAGAGGTAAGGGACAAGCACCCCAGAGGACAGCTGCCTGGGGCCTCTGGATGCTGATAAATACGCTCCAGCACCATGGACTCAGGAAAACGAGAATCCAGTCGGCCACCATGTTCCATTGCTGGAATGCATGGGGATGAGACCCTGCAAGGTGTCTGCTGGACTCTGGCCTTCAGCCCACTCCTCCTCTTCCTCTGGTTCTCCTTCCTCCTTTGGCATCCCTATCTGCCTTTCCATCCTTCTCTCTCCTGCCTGCTTTCTCATCTGTTTTCACCATTCCTTCAGTCTCTTCTCTCCTTCTATGTCCTTCTCCTCTCTCATCTTCTTTCTACCAGAAGTCTTTGCCACTCAACAGAGGATGGGAGACACAGACCAGCCCCTGCTGAGGCTCCCTAGGGTTGCTGAATGGTTGAGCGGGCAGGCCCTTGGCCATGAGACATTTGTTCCCCAGAATGGTAGTCTCAGGCTTACTCCTGGCCACAGAGAAAGCTCTGAGATGGGGACAGCAAGTTTTCAAGAACCCAGCTTGAAACTAGCTGTGAGGACTTCTGGCCTTCTTGGAGTCAGAGCTGTGGTGGCCTGTCCCTCCCCCCATGCCTCATCCAGACACTGGAGACACATGCATTTATTGAAGGGGGTGGGAGACCAGGAGGTGGGGCTAGGTGTGGGGAGGGCATCGCTGGTTATCCCAGCGTCACTTCTTAGAGTTTAACTTCTTAAAGCCAGTGGTCTTCTTACTGCTCCTCCTCGTTTTGGCGAAAGGCTGTGGTTCCTCTTCAGGCTGTTTGACTCTAAATACACAATGGGAAGATGCAGGTGCTGGGCATCAAGGGAGCAGGCAGGGAGCCTGGCCTGGCTCATGAGGGCATGGCCCTGGAGGGAGAGTGGCAGGGGACAGCCTCATCTCAGGCCAGTAGTCTGATCCTAGCACTTTTCTTTCTGGAAAGGGGGGATACTGCAGAATTGGTATTTGGTTCTCTGTCACCATCACCAAAAAACTTGCTGGAGTTGAGAGCATCCTCCATCCTTCTGACAGATGAATCTGGACTCAGGGCTACAAAGTGTATTGCCCAGTGCACAACCCTGACACCCAGTGGGACACTGCAAAACAGGCTGTCAATCAAAGGCTGGCCTGGTCTACATCCATAGGGACACAGATTACCAAGGCATAAGGCATGCCATGGTAGGCTTTCATGGCCTATGTCCAAGCTAGGGAATCCTGTAATGAGCCATCCCTAACCTGCCAACTAGAGTCATGGGGAAAACATACTTCTCAGGGGAAGGAGAAGGTTCTTTTTCTATTTTTTCCACAAGCGCCACTGAAGAGACACTTCCTTCATAATCGTCGGATGGGGGTCTTTTAGTTGACTCAGAATCATCCAGGTTTGTGACATAAGTTGACATGCTGCAGGGGAGGGTGACAAGATGACACAGCTTAGGGGGTCAGAGGTGAGAGCACAGAGTTCACTGAGTGCTGTCCCACCCTGTTCCAGACCCTAGAGAGACTAGCAAAACACACTTCTTCCCAGTTGTTACAAGGGAGAAAGTATTTGCTCTTGGAACCTGAGGACCACTGGAGGTCAGTTTAGCCTCTGTGAAGGACCGCATAGCCGTCCTTCCCATGCCACCAGCTCCCGGGTCCATGCTACACTGGGCACGGGCAATGCCCACAGGTTACAGATGGCTTTGCAAAGCAGCAAAGGAGAGTGGAGTAGAAGTCATCATGCAGTGCTGTTGGCCAAATGTATCCCCCAAATTCATATGCAGAAATCCCAACCCCAGGACCCTAGAATGTGACATCGGTAGAGGTACAATAGTTGAGATATAGTCATTCTGGAATGAGGTGGGCCCCTAATCCTGAATGACTAGTGTCACATCAGGGCAGTGCTGTCACCAAAGCCAAAGAGAGGCAAGAATGTGACTTGAGAGGGACTATGGTCCACTTATACCCAGGTTCAGTTTCCAGCCCCCAGAACTGAGATGACACACGTCTGCTGTGTAAGCACACAGTTTGGCTATTCTGGCTGCCCTAAAAGTGCTATGCCTGCATGGCAAACAGATCACTGACATGAACTGTGCTCAGTTCTCAAAACTGGCAGTCCATTGTTAAGGAGCCAAACAACGGTGTACCTGCTGACACTCCTGGATGACATCCACGTGGATGGTAGCCTCTCACTCTTCTCACAGAGCAGAAGGGGGAAGCTAGCTTGTAGGTATTAACTCCACTCATGATGTCTCTGCTCTTGTGACCTAGTCCCTTCCCAGAGTCCACATTCCTAACACCATCACCGTGGAGCTAAGGATTTCAGCACAGGAACCTGTGCATCATGGCAGCTTAATGCAGCCACTTCTCTTTACTAGTCCCTGGTACCTCCTGTTGTGACTCAGTTGGTCCTGCCTCTTCTAAAGTGAGCAGAAGAGAGGGGTGCAGTATACAGAGGTAAAGAGTCCCCTCATGACTGGAAGCACACACAGTACAACCAAGCCTTTGATGTTCATAAAGACCATGACTGCTCACAAACCCTTTGAGGTTCTCACACAGGTATTTGCATACCGTATTATCTCTACCAGGTCTCACTCCAGTCTGTAAGTCATGGGGAACGTGATAGTTTATAAGATGCTCTATCCTTCATAGATTGCCTGTTGTTTACCAAGTGCTGTGCAGATAGGACACTTCATAGGTGACTGGGGGACTGTGCATGGCTCATGACAGCTTGCAAAGTGCTCGGCTGCTGAGAAGGAGCAGGTCTGAGAGGAGGCCCAGCAGCTTCTGAGACCCTTTCTACTTCACAGGGCACTCAGCAGTCCCCACTTCCCACCGTGACTTATCAGGGACATGGGCAATTTACAAAGGACTTTGTCTTTCGCACATTTCATAACTATTGGCAATGTTCTCTGTGGTCCACTGAACACATTACAGTTTACATAGCATTCAGCTTATGGGGCCAAGATTGTTTTCAAGGCGTTTTTGTTACTGTAGAGTGTGGCTGTTTCTGATAGATTTTGGTTGTCTCCTGTAAAAACAACCCTAAGATGGTTATATCCCATCCCTCCAGGCCATGACTGAGGTACAGAGAAGATAAAGCTCACAGTTGTAGTGTGGCCTGGATTTATTTGCTATTTATAGTACATCCTTTTCCTTGCTCACCCTCAGTTTCTCCTTCTATAAGGTATATGTGCTATATGCCAGGATCTCCTAGCTCAGGGTCCTGGGTTACTTTTCTATAAACAGAAAACTAACCAGACTCTGGCAATAGAGAACAGAGAACTTGGAGCCCAGAGTTCCACACTCCTCTCCCTGATGACCATGTCATGTTCTACAGGCAGCAAAGGACCCCAGGACACCACAGGCACACTTGCAAGTGTTACACAACTGTGTACTCTGCTGCCACAAAAGGAAAGTAAAAGCAGCAGCAGCCTAAGCTTCCTTAGCAACCAGGAACAGACAAAAAACTGTCAAGTGTCCTCTGTAGACAGTCTTCTCAACCTGATTGCTACAGTTGTTAGCAATTTGGTGGAATGGGGGGCTAAGTGTTCTCCTCCCTTCCCAACTAGATTTAACAACTCTTCCCTGATTGGTCCTATTTTTCACTTTATTTGCATACCCACAATTCAGCCAATCAGGGTCCAGAGGGTACCCAGTACAATCAGATGTTCTGAGGATTGCAGAGACAGAACTGTTGCTGGAGGGAAGAATCAAAAAAGGTAGACTTCAGGTTGGGCTCCAGCCAGTTGTTCATCCTCACTGAAGGGAGGCTACCCTCAGTGAAGGCTACCTTCAAGACAGGCAGGGGACAGAACTCCCCCTATTCTCAAAGTTCATTTGAGCCAGCCTCTGGGACATGACCTCTACTTCAGCAGCAGATGAGAATTCATTCTTGACCTACTTCCAGCTTTCAGGACCTGCTGCTCCAGGTGTTCCTGTTGTTGACTAGCAGATTTGTTCTGCAAGGGCCTGGATTGGTGCCCTGAAGTCCTCTAAGAACTTTTAAGCTGTAACACTTTTCAGAGATGAAAGAGCTCTTGGCTAGCATCTTTCTGCTATCAAGAATTCAAACCTGATCCATTTAAATTGTCAAAACCAGTGTGCCAACCAGTTTAAAGATGTTTTATCCTATTTAAAGCTGTTAATCCCAAATTGGCAACAAAGGCACCTCCTGGTGGTTGTCCTCACTTGCTGCCCACTCCATTTTTGAAGTAGAGTGGGATATGGACCCAGGTAGGAGGAGACAAGGATGTTTCCATTAGCCATTTCACTACTATAATGGAGCCTCCTATACATACATACATGCACCTTTTGGAGCTGCTGCAGGTTAAGCTCCTTTGTGCTTCCAGGGGACCAACTGTTTTCTCTGTCTGGTGCTCTCCCATCTGCTCAGCCTCCATGAATATCTCATTCTGGTCTATCCTGGTCTCTCTTGTACCTAAGTCCTTGGTAGAGTGTGAGCATGGCAGGGTAACGCCTCTCTGCTTACAGATACCAGTGCCTACAAACCACATGTGACCCGCCTTTGCTGTCCCCAACCCTAGTGAAGAAGGGTAAGTGTCATCAGTATTGAGTGCAGGTGGACACAGCCTCACTCGGGCTGCACATTAAGGACCACATTCTACACGTGCTTCCCACTGAGGCTGTCTGGCTATAAGCCTGTGATGCCCTCCCACCTAGGACCCAGAGACCTGGGTTAGGGGGCTAAGCTCTTGGCTCATACATACATTTTCTTATGTCATAGCCTTTGTCTCATAAACTAGAAAATGGCCATAAGCACAGTGGGGCTTGTAATTAGACACCTCCTCATTTGTTCCAAGAGTAAATAAATCCATCTTCCTTTTCTGTTTCCTAGTATCTTTTAAAATACAGGAAATCTAAGGTGCTAGGTTTATGGTCATAAATGTCCAATAAGACCCAATATATCTCTGGCACATTCTTTTTTGTAACTGTGAACATTTTCTAAGACTCAGCTTTACAGAACTCCCTGGACCTGCCAATGTCTGGTCTCCAACAACTCTACCACCTTCTTCTCTTTGTGTTCTGAATGATGGGGACTCAGAACACTTAGGATTTTCTGTCTGTCTGCCTTATCCTCATGGGCTCTTCCTCCTCTTGCCTTCTCTACTGAGTACTCTAAAACACTAAGGCCACTTGGTGTGAGCTCCATGGACTTCCCATGAATGGATCCCCAACTTTGGGGTGAAGCATACTGACAAAACCCAAATCAGCTCCCTGGGGTGAGCTGGCATCAAGATAGGAAACTGCATCTAGGTGTGGTGACACACACCTTTAATCCTAGTACTTGGAAAGTAGAGGCTGGCAGATCTTTGAGTTTGGGGCCAGCCTAGCCTACAGAACAAGTTTCAGGACAGCCAGGTCTACAGAGAGAAGCCATGTCTTGAAAAACCAACCAACCAACCAACCAACCAACCAACCAAGATAGACATCTTCAGGTGTGTGTGAGAATGGACTTAACTTGGCGCTGTGGGAGTGTACAACAGGCGGCTCAGGTCTGCACACAAATATTACAGATAACAAGTATCCTAGGTTTGGTCATTGTTTACCACTTACAGAGCTTGTTGACACACACTTTTTGTGGAATCCTTAAAATTTTGCAAGACTGAGTGTTATCTTCATTTTAAAGACAAAGAGATAAAGATTTGGGAGCCCACCTGACTGCCTGACAGTTATCAGATAATACAGGGTAAAGCTGGCTCCAACTGTGTCTTGGGACCCCTGACCAAGGAAGTTTCCCAGGAACCTGCACCACAGATCACAGTGGAATCTGGAACCTGCTAGTGCTCACCGGATACAGATGTTAGCATAAAGCCCAGGCTCCTCCTGGACTAGACTGCAGTGTCCTGAGATAAGACACTGCCTTCTCCCACTCACCAGAGCCAGCCTGGACACACTTAGTAGGAGGCAGGACCTAGCTGGATGCTCATACCTAAGCCTACTCCGCCAATGACTGTGTCTGTGAGGCCCACCTGGCAACCCAGCAGAAGCCAGGATGAATGTGTACACAAGCTGCAGTTGAGGGGTGTGGCTGGACCTCGTGCCCCCAAAAATGTGTTTTCACTCTCTCCAGCTGAGTGGGGGATGGGCAAAGCAGCATTGCCTTCTATTTCCCACATCGCCCTTTATACAAAGTTAGGGCTCAGAGAGACAAACAGCTTGACCTTGTAAACCTCTTCTTCCCTGCTCTTTCCTCTTCCCCTGCCCACCTGCAAAACCCTTCTTTTGCTCAGGGGACTGTAGAGAGGATGCACCCCACTTCCACACTCTGGCTTTTCCCCATCTCACCCTCTGGCACCACCTGCTGTCCCACCCACTGTCTCTCCTGGGATGGCTTGTCCAGTTTTACTTGAATTTGTAGTTGTCTGGCAGGAAGTAGCCCATCTTGCAATCCTGTCGAGCCCGGAAGATCTGTTTCAGCAGATTCTGTTTGCTGAAGCCGTAGCCGTTTAGTACACATCCCCCGAAGAGGAGCTTGCCCCCAGCAAACATCTGTTGGAGAGCAGGAAAGAAATCAAATAAGAAACACCTTTGGTATATTGACATAGTAACCTGACTATAATGACAGCCAACTTCCAAGTCTTAGACTGGCCACAGGCTGCTCAGAGATGGTTTAGGAGTCAGGCCTTTGATTGCATGGGAAAGCACACTACCCTCCATCAGAAACCAAAGGAGACATGATTGAGCCCAGCCTCTGCCAGGCCCTCCTGAGTCACAGGGCAGCCCAACCTGCCCAGCTTTTGGCCCCTACTGGGAGCCGTTCAGAAGTATACTACATACCTCCCCTAGGGTGCAGAAAGGTCACATTTTTACCCACCCACAGACTCCTACCCACCTGCCTTCAGCTGTCTACCCGCCTAGGCTATAAAACCACATATCAAGATGCACTGTTCAGCTCATCCTATAAAATGGGGTTTTCACACTCTCTACTTTGTGTATATCATTCTCCAACATGGATACGGGTCTAGAGATGGCTAGGCATGGTTATTAATCAACATTATTATGAAGGGAAAAAAAAGGGAGAAGGAAGAGAGGGAAAGAATCTAACTGTCCAATGAAAGCAGCAATGATAGTGATAACAAGGTAAAAATTCTGGTGTTACATGTTCAAGATGTGGAAAGGTGCTCTGTTATTGGAAAGGCATTGCCCTCAAGTATGCATGTAGAGAAAGACAGCAAAGTCCAGACACTATAATGGTAGGTGGGTGTGGCCTAGCAGGGGCTCTAGAACTTTAGTGCCAGATAGATAAATTAAGAGCCTAGGTGATATGAAGGTGTCATTAGTTTCTAGATTGTATACCTGAGTTTTCAATAAGCATATAAGGTTTGAGAACATTTTAGTATAATTAATAACAATCAGATGAGTAGACTTGATTCTCTGTGTGAATGTCGCCCAACCCCTCTATCTCCTGGGATGGGGGATGGAAGTCTGTTGGGTGAGTCTCAGTTAGTCCTGCTCTCTGGGCCTCATTGTGGATGGCAGAAGAGCAGTAGGCCTTGTCCTCTTCTCCCTGATCTGGCTGAGACAGTAGGGGCTGCTGGTGAATGTCTAGTCCTTAGCAAGGCCTCTGCTCACCAAAACCATCCCGTGTATCACAGCAAACTTCTTCACCATTAGGGGTGGGTCCTTCTGCAGGGGGCTGTCCAGGTCATACTGCAGCAGGCGGTAAGGGTCATGCTGGCACTGTCAAATAGATATGTGGGAACTGGTCACCCTAATGCAAGAAGATACACGTTAACTTCTCCCACATCCATCACTGTTCCTAGAGGAGGTTTCCAGATCTGCTCTGAGCCTTCTGTGGGGGAAGTCATCACTAGAGTGACTCCTCTTTACATGACACCACTAGATTTGCTCTGGGATCTGTGGAATATGATATGCCTCACTCTGGAAGGTCTCAAGATGGAGTCCTGCTATGTTGCCCAGCCCAGAGGGGCCTTTATCCCATCTCTCACTGGCTTCCCCTATTGAACCCTTTGTGGTCTTTAGCCATTGTGGGATTTGAGCATGAATGAGCAGCTATTAGCCGGGGCAGAGGCCAATTCTCCGTGAGGCCCACCACTACCCTCCAAGCCTGTCCCTAAGGCTCACTGACACTTGTCCATTTCCTTACTACTTCAGGTCAGATCTTGGCCCCATTCATGCTGCTTGTGGCTGTAATAAGACACTCAAGCATCTTATTCCTTAGGAATAATTAGTAGTGAATACTAGCCCCCAGATGAACTATAGCCAACTGTACATTCCCATGAGGAGTTTCCATGATACAGGTGAGCCCAGAGCAGGTTCTTAGTGAACATTCTCTAGACTAGAGTAGGCTGGAAGTGAAAGCGGAGGAGCATCTGAGTTTAGGAGGCTCTCCATTCTGAGCTTCAGGAACTGGCTAGTACCCAGGCATGAGGGTAGATATGGGAGGAAGCACTCCTGGAGCACATCCCTACCTCAGGGTCCTCACATAGATTCAGAACTCTGTAGCAACAGGCTCAAGGAGAAAGACACCTTAGAAGAAGTCCCCTCGCCTGAATGTCCACATGAGTCTGGGGACTCAGCCTTTCACTGTTTTTAATACTGTTTTAAATGAGGGCACACTCAGCGTGATAAGGGTGGACTTAGGAACTACTCTAGAGGGAGGGAGTAGGTTTCCTGTGCCCTAACCCTCATGCTCCAACACCCCTTAGAATTAAATTGGGATCTCAAACTGCCCTCATCCCTGCACAAGCAACTGCCAGGGGCACTCAGCTGCCTGCCAAAGTCCTGAGCATCCTAGGAGGCACATTCTGACCCCAGGAGGCAGGACTCCAGAGCTGTCCTGTCATGGCCCTCGCAAGGGCCCGTTGTAGCTACAGCCATACTGGGACTGACTCATGCTGAACCAGTGGTAGGTATCCAGAACCTGGCACAAGCCCAACACATGGCGGGCAGTGTGGTGTGCTTGAGAACAGCCTAGGAACATTTACTGAAAGAATGTGGGTGGTGGCCATTGTCTTTGCCTTGAACATTCACTTCAGTTGTAGACATAAACTGCTAAATTCTCTGAAAGAAAGGGGCTGTGCTTTGACCTTGTCTCAAGGGGCAGAAGCAGCACCTGCCCTAGTGTGGTGACATTCATCCTGGAAGAGAAGAATGAGCAGAAGAGTGACGATGGGACAAAATGCTGCAGACAGAAAAAGGAATGTGTGCCAAGGCCCTGGAAAGAAAAGGAACTATCAGACATCCAACCCATCCTCATATAGTGGGGGTCATTTTGGGTTCTGCCCCCCTGGCCTTAGCCTGATAGGCCCCCTCATATGGCCCTGGACCCACCTGGATGCAGGGTGAAGACCGGCCCTGCTGCCGATGACTATACAGTGTATCCAGCAGCCACTGCAGCTGCGCAGTGAGGGTGGGATCCTGGCTCGACATTATCCCAAAGACCAGCACTTGGTTGGGGTCCCGAGGTGCAGACAGGAAGCGCTCCAGCTCCAAGTCGGACACCAGGGGTGCCTTCACAATACATTTGCAGCCAGCCCGGATGTCTTCCTTGCGAATGAGCCTCCGCAGCACCAGTGGGCAGTCAGAGGGTGAGGCTGCCCATCTGGTGGGGCTGCGCATCTCTCTGGGCTTCCCTCTACAAAGAGGAGCACAGTGGTAGGAACCTGTGGGCAGGCCTCAACCGCTCTCCAGACTGCTCTTGATTCTATCTAGAAAGAAGCCCACTGCACTGCCCAGGCCATGAGCAGGTCCGGGGCTAGTCACTAATAGTGTGAGGGTCCCCTAAATATTCCAGGCCTCAGTTTCCCCACGTGCGAAAGGAGGCATAAGAAGTGACTCGGCTTACACCTCAGAGCCATTCATGATTGTGACTCCACACCCCACATGTCACCAATACCTCCTCAAGCCTCTTCCTCAGTTTACGACAGACCCAGAATCTGACTGCCCTCCATTACCACCAATATAGTCCAGCCTCTGATCATGTCTTACGTGGTGCCTGCGGGTTTGTTTGGCCTTTCCTCCCGGATCTCTCCTGGAGCCACTGAGGGATTCTGTCAGAGTCTGCTGGTCTCTGGAAGCCTCCCTGGGCTTTCTAGCTTACGTTCAGTTGAGGGAGTGGCAGGCTGTATGCGATCTAGCTCCTGCTTCTCGCTCCCCGTAAGCCCCTCGCACTTCCCAGTACTCTCTCTGCTCACCATGCTAGGGCCACACTGACTTCTGATTAGGCCTTTGTTTTTGTCCCAGAGCTACAAACTACCTTTAAATCTATTGAAATGTCACCTTCCTAGTGACTTTCTAAAGCACCCCATTGAATGTTTCCACCTCAACATGCTTTCTTGCTTGTTTTATCTTTCTCTTAAGCACTTCTTGCTGTTTAACATACCATATATTCCCCTTACTTTATTTGTTAATGGTCATATCATCTTCATCATCATCACCATCATCATCATCACCACCACCATCATTATTTCTCTGTATAGCCCTGGCCATTCTCTGTAGAACAGGCTGGATTCAAATTCAGAGATCCACTTGCCTCTGCCTCCTGAGTGCTGGTATTAAAGGTGTGCGCTGCCACCACCAGCAGCTTCCTCTTATTATTTTTTTTATTATTATACATTCCTATCTCTCTACAGGTTCCGAGAGATCAGCAACTTGCAGTGCTTTGATTGGTGGACTACAATAGAGCACTTGGCCCAGGAAAAATGCCACAGAAATTGGTCATCACTCCAGAATTTATCAGCCTCCTGCTACGTGCTGACATAATGCAGGCACCATTAGATGTAAGGTACTGCTATGCTTTTCCCTCTCATGATTGTTATTTTACACAGTATTTTACAGGATCTGTGGCCCTTGGAGTAGGCATTACCTTGGCTAACTTTGTACCCCACAGCATAGGCCAGACAGAAACAGCTATCACCACGTACAGGTCAAATGCAGAAAGCTTCTTCCCAGGAGGGGACTGGTCTGCCCAAGCTCAATGAAGCCTTTGAAGTAGCGAGACCTCAGACTAGAACCAAGTTATCCCAAACAGGAGCAAGGCCTGTGACCCACCAGTCACTAGTTAGCCCGCTTTAGGTATATTCATTTTACTTTAAATGTGAGTGTTTTGCCTGCATGTGTGTGCACAGTGAACAGAAGAGGCCATCGGATCCCCTGAACATTACAGACGTGTGAACCACCGTGTGAGTGAGTGCTGGGGACCGAAGCTAGTCCTCTGCAAGAGCAACAGGCACTCTAACTGCAGAGCCGTCTCTCCAGCCATTCATTTATTTTTGAGACAGGGTCTTGACAGGTATCCCACACTGACTTTGAGCTGATGGTAATCCTCCTGTCTCAGCCTTCTTGGTGCTGGGACTGTGAGCATACACTGCCATACCTATCCTTACAATTAATAATTCTTTGGAGGAAATTTAATGATGGTACATGTTTGCTGATCAAAGTTGGTAAGAGCATCTGCTTGGGGGAGAAGGGGCGAGCACAGCGACGTAGCATGCGTGTAGCTTATGTGAGCTCCTGGATTTGATCCACAACACCAGATAGATAATAAAGTAAAGTAGAGTATCTCTTGTTTAAGGATCTAAACATCCAGGAGGAATGTTAACTCTATCCATCGTGATTTATACCAGAGCAGATTCAAAGTGATCAAGGCTTTTAATGTAGGAGAAACCGACTCTACACTGTCTTACAATTTACAATAGCGGCATATAGCACAGATTGTTCTCTTACTACTCTCCAAAGCAGGAGCTCCTCCCCAGCTGTGGTGAGCAAGTCGCTGCTATGTGAAGACCTGAGGATGGATGAGAAAAGTCAACATTTGGGGCTGGACAGATGGCTCAGTGAGTGAAGTTCTCGTTGTTCAAGCACAGGACCTGAGTTTGGGTTTCTGACACCCATATGAAATGCTGGCATGGTGGGCCACATATATAACTCCAACGCTGGAGTTGGGCAGAGACAGATCGATCCCCAGGGCTTGCTGACCAGCTAGTTTAGCTAAACGAAATTTCCAAGTTTACTGAGAGACCTTTTCTCAGAAAGTTAGATGGACAACAGAGGAAGACACTGAAGTCAATTTCCAGCCTCCACATGCATACTCACAGCTAAGCTCATAAACACACACACACACACACACACACAATGATGAAACATATGATGAAATGGGAACAAAGTTGTGAACAATCAATTTATCAACAAGGATTTAGAAGATGTTCTTAAATCTCTGGAAATAGTGAAGTCACCAAAAGCAGCAGGATAGGAACACTAAAACTGTTCTCCACTAAAGTTGGCAACACAGTTAGGGAAAGGTGGAGATGGATAGATAGGCAGACAAGCTAACTAAACCCCACCAAAACTAATCTTAGCAAAGTTCGGGAACGAGAAACTGCCAAGCTTTGGTGCAAGGAAGCTGGCATTTTAACTGTCTCCTCTACCACTCTTCTTCTTAGTTCATGTGCTGTTATGAGGTGGGGGATGTGGATCAGGCTCAAGGAATGATGGCTGTGCAGCTGACCTGTCTAAGGGTTGATCTCAGGATCTGCTTTGAACAGCCCCAGCAAATAGCTGTTGAAAGTACTTGTCATCGTCAGTTTCATCTGTCAATTTGACAACAGGGAAGAGAAAGCCTTGGATGAGATATTGCCTCCATCAGAGTGGCCTGAGCATGTCTGTGGCTGTTTTCTTTATTGTTGATTGATATGGAAGGGCCAAACCCATGGTGGCCAATGCCATCTCTAGGCAAGTAGACTTGGGCTGTCTGACGGAGGCAGCTGAGCAAGCCAGGAAAAACAAGCCAGTAAGCAATGTTCCTCCATGGTCTCTGTTTCTGTTCTTGTCTCAACTGTAACCTGTACACCAAATAAATCCTTTTCTCCTCCAATTTTATTTTGGTCAGTGCTTATTGCAGCAATGGTGAGACCTGACTAGAACACATGCAAAGGCAAAAAATGTCAGATGTGACTGCTTGTGCAAGGAAGCCACACGGGTACAGACTTAAAAAAAATCCCAGCAAAGGGGGAAAAAGATGTGGGAGGAGCTAGATAGATGGCAAAATGGAGGCTTTAGTCTCTTAAGGACACTGAAGGATCTACATGTCGGGTGGGGGAAAAGCCCAAGAACACTCTCATCTTTCACCTCTGGAGCGATGCAAGTAGCGTATGAAAGGTGATACACAGCTGTGGGCAGCCTGGGTGAAGGCTCAGAGCGATGTCCCAACACAGAGCCGTCTGCAGCAGCTTCAGCCTCAGGGGCTCTGTGCTAAGCCATCAAGCTGGCTGCCACGCTGAGTGAGTGGAGACCTCAAGAACTACTGCACAGTAAAAACATAGCCCTTGCAAAAAGAGTTAGTAGAAGTTACTAAACAAATCTGGCACAAGGAACCCCAGGGAATGAGAGCCGGTCTTCTACAGTACCACATTTAAATGATCAGTTTTTGGGAAAAGGTTATGAGGAATATTCAAAGAAATTATAAATAGAACCTGCTCCTTAGGAAACTAAGATATTGGACTTCCTAGAAAGGGGGCTTAAATTAATTTTTAGATATACCAAAAGCAAATTATAGAACAAGAGATAAAGGAACCCAGAAAAAGGAACAGTGTCTCATCAACCAGAGGACGTCACAGAGACAGTAATTATAAAAAGTAAAACAGAACAAAGCTAGAACTGAATGCACAGAGCTGAAGAGAGAAACTCTGCAGTGAGTCTCAGCAGCAGAGGGAGGAGCGAGGCAGTGTGAAGACAGTACGCTCAGCACAAAGCAGCCTTTACGGTTTTTACAGTTAACTCGTCGAGAGATAGGAACATGTGTGCGGTGCTGCTGAGAACTCAGTACTCAAGAGGCTAAAATAGAAGTAAACAGTTCCAGCCTAGCCTGGGCAATTCTTAGACCCTATCTCAAACAACAACAACACCCCCCCACACACACAAAGAAAAACTTGAGAGAAAAAGGAGAGAAGCAATTCATTATATTTAGAGATAAGATTGATATCAAATAAGCAAATAATATATAAAAAATATAAATAACACCGTAATCTATATTTTAACACATGTTCTTCATAAGGGATGTATTTTGGATTCAAATATACAATTAACTTGAAAATAATAGATTGGAAGAAAACATATCACACAAATAATCATTAGAAGAAATCTGGAGTATCTACACTAATACCAGAAAAAAAGTAAGTAAAAAAAAAAATGTTATAGAAAGGGAGTGGAGAGACTGCTCAGTAATTAAGAGCAGGTACTGCTCTGACTAAAGACCCACACACTTGGTTCCCAGCAGCTACAGAGAGTGACCCTAGGGGATCTGACAGCCTCTTCTGTCCTCCACAAGCACTTGCAATCATATGCACATACATGCACACATGGATAAGTAATGCATAAAGTGCATGCTTATATGTTACTTTATAATGTATAAAATGAAACAAAAATTATTATTAAAGGAGGACATGATAATGGAGAGAAGTTATTCCATCTAGAAACACTGTTTCTATCAGCATGTACTGGACAGTGAGTCCTAAATACATAAAGCAAAAAGTGGCAGAGCTGAGGAGATACCACGAGGGATACTACAAACATCAAGAAGGGGCATATGGGGCTCAGCCAGTAAAGGCCCCTACTACAGCTTGGCAACCTGAGTTTGATCCTTGGAGATAGAGCCTACTTCAGCAAGAATCTACCTGTTCTCTGACTTCTCCTTGAATGCATGGTACAAGTGAGCATTCACACACACCAAACAAACAGACGTTTTCCAAAGACGATCCTGGGGGGAACCAGGAGCAACTCCATGTCTACACATCCAATGACCTGGATCACCGATTCCCTTAGAGACATGAATCGCCAAACACTCACTCAAGAAAAAGCAAGTAGCCTAACCAGCTCTATATTTATAAGAGCAATATTGTTTTTAAAAGCTACCTACAAAGGAGACTTCTGAGTAGGACAGTTTCATAGTAAATCCTAACAAACATTTAACAGAAAAGACCTGTATTCAGCATAAATAAGCACAAATTCACTTAATTAAGCCAGTATTGTTCTGATAAGCCAGACAATAACATTACTAGAAAAGAAAACTATACACAAATAACCTCGCAAGTATATATGCAAAAGTCTTCAACAAAATCTTAGCATGCTGTACCCAGCAATACAGGGAAAACAAACACTTTATAATTGAGTGAAGTTTATCCAGAAATGCAAGGCTGCTTCAATATTTGAAAGTCACGTAATCATATTGACAAACGGTAGTATAGTAAAAGACCCACACAAATAAGACCTACTGTCTTTCTCTAGAAGGGTGCAAAGACAGCCAGGCAGTGGTGGCACATACCTTAATGCCAGCACTCAGGAGGCAGAGGCAGGCAGATCTCTGATTTCAAGGCCAGCCTGGCCTACCTGTGTAGAATAGTCAAGGTTACACAAAAAGACCCTGTCTCAGGGAGGGGTCTGGGGGAGAGATGCAAAGAAGAAAAAGTTCTCTCTTTTTTTAATGTTGAGGAAACAACTATATAGCCACTTGCAAAACAAATTTTAACTCATACACTATACCTTATACAAAATTATTTCAAAATAGAAGCAGCATGAAAGACAGTCTAGGGGTTGGGGAAATGATTCTATGGGTTTGCAAGAATTGCTGCAGAAGACCAACAGTCTGTACATATGCATACACACACACACACACACACACACACACACACACACACACACACACTGGTTCCGTAGCCTTACAAACCTTAACATTGCCAATCACATAAAAGACAAATGACAACAGTAGCACAATTGGCAGGACAAAAGGTATGAGGAACCAAACACCTATAACATTAGAATGCATGGTCTCTGGCATGATCACATAATAAATTGTTATACAGCAATGAGAAAGAACAAGTAAATCTCAAATCATAATACTGAGTGGAAAAAGCCACACTCCAAAAAAACAAACCATATATAACCATTTAAATAAAGTTAAAACAAAAGCTAATCTGTGGTGTTCACAATATTTGGTCTTGGGAAGGAGTAGTCAAAAACTGAAATTGGCATAGAGAGATTTCTAGGGGCTGGAAAGGGTCGGTTCCTGGTTTGGTGGCTACAGGATCTATGCACTTGAGCCATGTGATTAGAATTTTCTCATTATTTTGTAAAAATTTCATATTTTAAAATATATACTTTAAGTATACTTACCTATTTATTTTACAGGCATGCATGTGCTGAGGGCATGTATGTGCTGTGGGCATGCATGTTCTGTGGGCATGCATGTGCCGTGGCGCACATGCATGTGGATGTCAGAGGACAACTTGTGGGACTCAGTTCTCTTCTTCTATCATGTAAGTCCCTAGGAATTGATCTCTGGTAATCAGTTTTGATGACAGGGGACCTTACCTGCTAAGACATCTCACAAGCTCCAAAATATACATATTTTTAAGCTTTAAAAATTAAACAGATAAATCTGTTGAGTTCCCTCCATATGACCTCTCTAGCATAACAAGACTCCTTGCTCAATCTCCTGCGTGTTCCTGTGTTCTCAACTCTTTTTTTTTTTTTTTTTTGGTTTTTCGAGACAGGGTTTCTCTGAGTAGCCCTGGCTGTCCTGGAACTCACTCTGTAGACCAGGCTAGCCTCGAACTCTCGAACTCAGAAATCCGCCTGCCTCTGCCTCCCAAGTGCTGGGATTAAAGGCGTGCGCCACCACCGCCCAGCCTATGTTCTCAACTCTTATCATGGCTCCATTCTCTTAAAAAAAAAAAAAAAGATTTTAAAATTGCATTGTGTAGCCATCTTTTTGGCTACTTTGTACCTTCTTTTTTCTTCTACCCTTCTCTACTTACTTTCTACGCTTTTCAGCCTCTAATGTTAAATAGGAGAGAAACAAGGTTAGAGGGGAAAGAGGGCAGTGTTATCATGAAAGTACTTCCTGCTGATTAGGAGAGTCTAGTTCCTTGGGCAAGTTTGATCTTCACTGTCAGGCTATTTTCTTCTTGTTGTTGTTTCTTCTTTGCACATGACTACTTAACAAACTATGACCAATATCCAACCAAGAATTCACCCCGCCTTTCGAGCCCTAGCATTTATATACCCTCTGAAAAGTCCACAGAATTCCAAATATTATACAATCACAGAAACTATCTGCAGCTGGCAAAATCACATCTCTGCTAGAGCACTAGACAAATCATAGTCGGCTGTTGTGGACAGTCTGAAGCAGCCCCATATCCCACACCAGGGATTAAAACAAAAACATTCTTATAATACTTCTGTGTTTTAAAAGAAACCCAAATTCCAAACTTCTCACCACAACATTGATCATGTATGTGTATTTGTGCCACAGCACATATGTGAAGGTGTGCACTACAACTTTTAGGAGTCAGTTCTCTCCTTCTACTCTGTGGAGCCATTTTGTCAGCCTCTCTGTAGCACCTGGCCACATTGATCTTCTCAGCAATCACCCCCGAGTTTGCTTTTGTCCCCAGGAGCTGCCCCGTCTCTCTTCTGATCTCTCATCCTTCACCCTCCCTTTAAATATCACTTTACAACAGCTTTCCTGACACCTTGATTGAAGGCAGCCTTGCCAGCCTACTCCCAGGCACTGTGTTCCAGAAATGGGTTAGTCTTCGCTGTAGTGGACTAGAAAGCAAGTATCCCCACCTTCATAGGCAGATGGGCTCGGTCACAGAGACTCTACATTTCCATGCTATGGGGAGCAGCTATGGATGGTGCAAAATGACAGATGTGATTGTGCTCCAATAGAATATCATCAAAGAATACCATTGATTTTCTTCTCATCTCATATGTCATAAAATATCCTCCCTTTGGTTTTCCCCAAAGTACTTAAAAATTGATAAAAATTAGGCAGCCAGGATAGGTCTGGCCCATGATCAGTACCTATTATAACACAGTGTTCTGAAACCTTTTCTCATTAGCCCTATTGCCATCTGAAATGGCATCATTTTGGGGCTAATCAGACGGCTTATCAAGTAAAGGCTGAAACCTGAAAACTTGTGACCAAGCCTGAAAACTCAAGTTCAATCTCTGGAACCCACACAGTGAGGAGAAAACCAATTCCCTTGAGGTGTCCTCTGGTCTCCACATTCATCCCACACTGTGTGTGCACCCATGTGCATATACTCACATACATAATAAATGTTCAAAAATAAACAATATCATTTAAATACTTATTTATCTCTTATTCTTCTCCACTCCTAGAGTTGGAGCTACAGAGAGAGGGGCTTGTGTGGTCCCCCTGCATCTGTATTACTCATTGCATCCCCTGGCTCTACAGAAGAAATGAAGGACTAAACCAACCTTGGTAAGACTTTGATCTGGACTTTGCTGCTCTTCTTTCGAACATTGACCAAAGATATAGGTATAGAATCCTCCTTCAATGTCTCCTCAATTACGGAGTCTTGTCGGGCTGACTGGGTTCGCGTAAGTGTTTCTCCTTGGTATAAACTTGTCTTACGGATCCGATCATGATTAGACCCAGATTTCAACTTGACACGACTAGCTTCTGTGTCTTCTTTTGGGGTGGGATATTCTAAGGTGAACAGACCTGTCAACAGGAATGCTATTGTTACTTTCTTAAACTACCAACTGGACCATCGGAGTCTGTTTTAGCTCACACTCACTAACCCTCGCTGGCTCCCTTCTAATCTGCCTTGCTCTGCATCTAACATACTGCCCTACTTCAGCAGTCAGCATAAATGGACACATCTCGTTTCTACTTGTTCTGCATGACACAGCTTCAATCTTACTTTCCCCAGATGCCTTGTGAAACTTATGATCTCCACAATACTCCACAGTGAGGTCAGGTACATCCTGTGTTCCCTTCCCTGAGAATACAGCCTCTCAGGTCTCTACGCTGAGGCTGATTTCATCCTCTTCTTCGTTGTGCTATAGGTTTTTTGTGGTTTTTTGTTTGTTTGTTTGTTTGTTTGTTTTGTATCTTGCCTTCTCTACTTAGTCCAGTAGAAATTTCTGAGGCCAGAGCCCTATCGTTCCTTCATTCACCTAGCAAGCACTTATTAAATGGGTGCAGAGTATAGAAACAACCCAAGATAGGCCCTTTGCCACTGAGAACTTGTGATGGAGGACAAAGAGGGTGGGCAAACAATTCACAAAACTGAGTAACAAGATTTGTAACTTTCACAGCAGCCATAGGAACCACCAGAAAGAGGTGGGGAGTCCCACTTTGTGAGGGAAGTCCAGGAAAACTCACAAAGGAAAGGCACAAGTGAACCAAGTCTCTGCTGCAAGAGAGACTCCTTGTAGAAGCTGTGTGGGGAGCATGGCTGCAGTCCCAGCTAGGAGATAGTAGCACCTTCTTCCCAAGGGCTACCAGCAGAGTGGAGAGCAGACATGGAAGGCTCCTGAAGCCTCTCATACAGGGCCTGAGAATGCTGTGTCTAGCAGCAACAGTCTTGTAAAGTGACTACATTTTTCTCTTCTGAGATCATCCACAGAGGAGAGAGGAGCAAGCGCCAATTATAAAGGATGACAGAGGGCATAAGGGACAAAGCAGAAAGGACACAGAGGGATGCACAAAGTCTGTGAGAGATAGGAAAATATCACAATTGCATGGAGACACTAAAAACACATAGCGGGAGAGCTCAGAAATTAAAGTTATCTTTGTTCACTAGTCCCAGCTATGTGTCCTTGTCCCTTAGAAAATATTGGGTGGCTCTACCTCTTAGAAGGTAGAAGCTCAAGAGGTGGAAAAGACTCAACTTTGAGACAGGTGACCCAAGATTTGAGAGGCTTTCCAGTAGGCCTGTACACCTCTCTCCCCTTACCTGCTGCCAGCAACACAGAGTTCATAAACTGAGTCACAGTCTTCTGAAACCGCTTCTTGATCTCAGCCAGGGCTCTGTTTATCTTTGACACCTTTTCATCGATGAGGCTGATTCTGCGAACTGGCTGGAGGGAGGCAAATGGGGTTGGGGGCAGTAGTCACCTGCCCTCAGGGAGCTGTCTGCCTGCTCAGCAGAACTGACTCTACTCTGACGGTTAAGTGACTGATCCTTCTGCCTAGAATACATCTATCTCTGCCTCTCTTGACCCAGTCCTTTCAGCACACAAGGCCAGATCTGACTCAACTCTCCCACTGTAGAGGGCGTCCCTGATTCTACTGTGTAGTATGACCCTTTGACTTGACTCCCACTGTGCTATATGACTGCAAGGTAAGCTAGCATTTAATTAACTGGGTACATTTGCTCAGTCCCCCTAAACTGCAAGCTTTGAGGAGGTAAGGACGGTGTCTTGGTGTACCCTGATTTCATGCAGAAGGTACTCAGTAAATGCTATTGCTTTATGAATGACAGGATGGACAGAGGCTCCTCTGGAGTGTTTGCTGACAGTAATGCATAAGCATTTTTAGAATCCTTCCACCTGGCCAGCTACCAGAGTACTGGCTGTGGACAACTCCTTGCTGAAAAACTAAGCTGGCCAAGGTTACAGAGACCAGCAGGTCATCCACATCACAAAGGGCCAGGCTCTCACCTGGAACTGGGATTACTCTGAAGGGTCATTTGACTTCAGGACTTCCTGTGGTATCCCAGATACATCTGCATCAGCTTCCCTGAAGTTCAACCTCTCTCTGCCCTAATCCTCAAAGCAGTCATTTCCAGTAAGCTTCTGTGTGCTAGTCTCATTTTCTGAAGAAGCTGCTCTGAATAGCCAAAGGCCTCCATGGTACTGCAGAACCATGCACAGAATCCAGAGTTCATTGTGATCAGTCTTTTCTCCAGAAGCCTTCCTTCCCTTGGTTCTTCAGCCAGTGGCATTTGCTTTCTACCAACCACCCTCATCTGTGCGTTCCCATCATGTCTGCCTGGGGTCTTGTTCATTTTTTCACTTTCTTTATCCCTAAATGTGGCTGACTCCAGAAGAGCAGGCTCTATGCTTTTTCTACTGCTCAATTAACAGAGTAAAAGTATGAAACGTTTCCTTCTGTGGACTTTAAGCCTCAGGTGGAGTTAGTGGAAAAAGGAGTAGATAGATAATCAGGACAAGGACTAAGCTGGTAAGAACCCCCATAAAGGATGGCCCCAGTTACTAGCAAAGCCTGAGTCATCCTTCTGAGTAGTCCCAGCCACTACTTCTGGGCTAATTTTATTTATTTATTTGTAATTTATATCCACACTGGTTCCAAAAAGATTCAAAGCAGCACTCTGGGCTAATAAAGCATTTAAGTCAACGCATCGCCTTGCTTCCAAAGTGCTGCCCAGATAAAAATATTTAGTAAGGAGCCAAGCCTCAGGGCTAGAAAAGCTGAGACTGCCATTCTGCCTGTCACTATGATAGGTGGCTTTCTCTGGGATGGGTGTCTGGGGAAACCATTTAAACAAGCTTCCCAGTGACAGAGATACTATCCTCCCCGTGTCCCAGCCTTTCTAGATAGCCATGCATTTTTACAGAACCAGAGCCAAACAAGCTAGACTTGTGGTTGGAAAGACTGAAAATCCCAGGACAAAGTTAAAGTTGGGTTGGCCTTTACACATCACTATATAGATAGGGAAACTTAAGCTATACCTGCCAGTTCCAAGGATCTAAAATGACCAGTTATCTGAGCTGGGAGTTCATGCAAAAATAACTTGAAATGATGAATCTTGTTGTTCAGGACAGAGTTTGGAAATCCCATTGCTCACAGGAAATGATTACATGTATTCATTTGTTTCTGTTCATCTAGTTATAAATATACATTATAGAAGACACCGTGCCTTTTTAAATAGAAGCAATTACAGACAGAATGCTTTTTTGGCAAGTTAGCCTTCTCCATTACTAGTGTGTGTCATCTATAATGCAACATGCTTTCTGAGGCTATGTTAATGCATCGGCCTGTTTATCTGTGTTGAATGTCCCCAAGATAGTCATGTTCCTTGAGTTATTGTGTCATTTTAAATAACTTGTCATCCTTCTACTTCCTGCCAGGCTGTGCCTTTGTGAGTCCCTTGATGGAGACCTACCCTCAACATTTAGCACAGTATAGTAGAAATACAATGTGAGCTAGTTTAATGCTTGGCAGCCATATTCAAAACATCCTAAAGGTATAATTAATTCTAATAATATATTTATTTTCTCAAGTATATTTACAATGATCATTTAACATGCAATAAAAATTGGCAATTACTGAGAAATTTTAAGTTCTCTTCCCACTAAGTCTTTGAAACAAAGGATGTGTTTTCACTGAGATTTCAAATCAATTTTTTGTACTCCTTACACTTCAAAGGTTCGACGGCCTTGTGTGACTGGTACTGTGTCTGCCAAATTGGACAGCACAGCTTGGCTCTAGTTCTGGATCACTACAGTTGCAGTGAAGTAAGGCAAAACTCCATTTGAATTACTTTGTTTTCCCAGGCTGAGAGTGCATGTGAGTACACAGACTTGAGAGTCATTTCATTCAGCTCCTCTGGATGGTCTTTAAGTTGCTTATGTCATGGTTCTCAGAAAACACTGAGAGATTATCAGACATAACCAGACACCATTTAACAATGACCATTAGAAGATCCTGGAGCCAAATGGACATGGGAGAGGCATCAACATGCAAGCTTACTTATCACGGCTCATCCATCTAGCCTACCAGCTTGCCATCTATGCTTCCTTCCTCTCTTACTTTCTTTCCCATGTACTAGTTAAATACTCTGCTCTGTACTGTACCTAAGCCCACTGTAGTTATAATTCTTGCTGCTGGTGTAGTCTGAGCTCACAGGCACCTGAGTGGCCTTGGTAAACACCTTCTTTCCTTGTGTCTCAGAAGCTCCCGTATGTCTCCCGTTACATGGCATGAACCAGGCTGGACTCATAACTGGCATGTGTTTTTTCATCCCTTCCATTAGACTGAAAGTTCCAGACTAGAAAGGAGCTTCATTTCTACATCTCCAGCAGCTATCACGATACACTGCAAGTGCTAATACATGTTTGCTGGATTCATTAATAATTAATGAAAGAGAGATGGTGCTGGAAAGAATGCAGTGGGTAAAGCAGGCATGATGCTTTTCTTTAGGGATATCAGGAGTCTTCTTCATATACTGTGGCTCTGCAATGAATGTCTGCCCCATGTCTCTGAGTAACTGAAAGGTAGTCAGCTGTCTCTGAGGGCCTGAGAGCTTATGGCATGCAATAGTAATGTCTCAAAGCTTAAGAGCAGCTTGGTTGGGTCCTTAGAATTGATTATTCCAGCCAGGATGCCACTGAAGGGAAAACAGTACTATCTATGATTCCTGCAGGTGGACAAGTGTAACCACGGCTGGCACTGGGCAAACTTCCTCTAGTCCTAGGAACCAATCCAAGCAATGATTTCAACAAGTGAATTATAGTGACTGTTCACATGAGCTCTCGGTTAGCTCAGTCTTACTTCCATGCCAAGTGTTGTCTTTTGGACACTTCAGAGTTTAGGGATGGCATCTTATTCATCTGCTCTTATCTTTTCTATGATGTTGTTTTGGCTAGGCCAAAGTCAGACCAATGAATGGAAAGACTGGATTTAAAAAGGTTCTGTTATATTTTTATCCTCTCAATAAATAATGGGAAAGTGCAGCCATCTCTCTGCTTATGGGATCTATATTCTCATAGATGTGAACATCTCCACGGAAACCTTGACCCTCTCAAGTCCCTTGCGTACATGGTATGGGATTCACCATTTCCTACACCCATGCCATCTCTAGATACCTGGCACACTAGTACAGTGAGGCACATCAGTCATTGCTTCACTGTGTGCTATTCAGGGAGTGACGCACAAGCATACTGTGTGTGTTCAGTTCAGACACAATATCTTTTTCTGAGAAATTTCCATTCATGGTTGCTTAAGCATGGGGATATGGATGAGCCTTGCATACGAGGTAGCAGGAGAAAGCCTAGCATGGCAAGCTCTGCTGAGACACCCTGAGTCAGGGCTGGGTGCCCCACATGCTCTGCCTACTCATCCACTTTGCCTTACCCGTTTGTCATGCAGCACGTTATGGGGGCAGCTTTTGGGTGACACACTGAGTGTTACCGTCTCATTCATGGAAGTGAAGGTGACGGTGATGGAATCCTGCCCCAAGACTGTGAGCTTCATTTGTTCATTCACCTGCAGATAAAGAAATCAGAAACTCATGGATCTTTGTTTCTACCAAACCCAAAGCACGAATCCTTTTTAGCTTGGAGCTGAGATGTGTAAGCATTCTGGATCTTGTGCTAGAATCTAACTTTCATACAGAAGACAGAATACCAATGTCCTTTTGGAGATTTACTGAGAAACTCAGCAGTGCCTTCCTTCCCTGTTCCTTCTCTTCCAACTCACTCTTGGAAACAGCTGCAAAGCAGTACAAGTGTGCCAGACAAGCAGGTCAGCTTGAGTCCTGCAGCCTGCTCTGGGATACCATTGTGGGCCCTGGATCAGATGGCTGCAACAATCCAGGAAACAACTGACTTGAATCTTGTTCTCTTACTAAGCTGTTCAGTCTCCTTGAATCTCAGACTCTTCAGCATGAAATAGGTATGGAGCTACTGTTCAGCTTAAGTGATTTTTGGGTTTTTGTTTTTTAAGACAAAAGAGTTTCTCTGTGTAGTCTTGGCTGTCCTGGAACTTGCTCTGTAGACCAGGATGGCCTCAAAGTCACAGAGATCCATTTGCCTCAGCCTTCAGAGGGCTGGGATTAAAGGTGTATGCTGTCACCACCACCTGGCCAAATGACATTTTTAATGGCAGGAGAGTCTTTCCATGCCATGAATGCTCCTGCCTCGGGATAGTTCAGAGCACGGAGATCAGAGTGGCTTGTTTACTTCTCGACGGTTTGCTAGCTCTGAGAATTATTGATGCAAGCTGATTGAACATGCAACCCTCCACTGCTGTGTTCCTCCCAGTCTTCAGGGCTCTGACCTACAACATCTCTTTCCCTACAGATACACCCCTAGGCTGTTCTGAATCATGAGGGCTCTCTGCTCTGCTCCTTCTTTCATTAGTCCAGATGTTGGCCCAGTAGTCAGGGCCTCCCTCATTGTCTCATCACTGAGTCTCTGCCTCCTGTACTCAATCATCTGGATCTGGCCCATCAGTATCCCAAAGACAAGAAACCATCATGTGCCAAGTCTCTGAACATCTTTAGATTTGCTGGTCATTCTTACTTAAATGAAACTACCCACTTCTTGTCTAGAAAAATGTGGAACAGGGATGTCATCATGAACTCAAGCTTTGCTGAGGGGCCAGGTTCTAGTCCAGTTTTGAATCTTATTAATTGGGCAGTTATAGGGAAATTGATTACCTTCTCTGAGCCTGGAGATAATAAGAGAGCTACTCTCTGAGGGAGCTCAGCATCCTTCATGGGCCAAAATATGCATAAGGCTTAGCATGGTACAGTTGTTACTTATTTATTGTCCTGCTCCCTGGGTATCGGCCCTCTTTTGAAGTCCACAATATAGATGCTCTACAAACTCAGTCAAAGCTCTTCTTCTTAAGAGATTATTTGCTACCTGATATGTCTGTTCTCTCTCAGGTCAGGAACCAAATTATAGGTCCCAGATATTCCACCGAGTCAAATCAGCACATCTAAAACTGTACAGGGCGAAGTCTTAGGCAGTGAGTCAGCTCGCTAGCTCTGGTCTATACTTCTTGTTAATCCTCCACGTTGAGGCTAAGCTGACCATTCCTGCCCTTAGCTTAAAAGCTAAGCAGCTGGTCCTACTCCAAACAGAGTTGAACCAGCCCCTAACAGGTTGACCCTCCCCTCCCACTGGTAACTAAAAAGTTGAAGAAGAAAACAAAAACAAAACTCCCTCAAACTACTACTTAGTGGCTGAGAAGAGTGAGTCAGGCAGACTTTGAAGAGCTGAGACTTAGGAAAGGATGAGCATGAGAGAAACTTCTGTCCCAAAGCTCTAGCTTGGAAGCCACAGTTATGGCTAAAGCTACCACCTTGTAGCAAGAGAATCCAAAGAATAGAACCTGGGCAACAGAAGTCATGGTAAAGTATGCAAAGACTGGAGGCGTGAGTCTGAGGAGAGCCTAGAATTCTGTATACAAACGTGTCCATATCTCTGGCCAGTACCCGAACCCTGCAACAGAAGACAGTCTCAAGATAGCTCACAGAGTGAGAAATTAAAAATATATTGTTTTGAGCTTCTGTCTACTGCTAATGGGAAAAAGTTCATAGCTTCAGCCTGATCAAATTCTTTTTGCCTTTTAGAACAAGAATATCCAATACCATTCTCAAAAAAGACATCAAGATTCTGAGATTCCATAGCATAGTAGTGGCGATCTGTTACCCAAAGTTCTATGGTAGAAGAGGGACTGGTAAATGGTGAGCTACTCTCAAGGCAACAGAGCATTGACTGAAGCGGATTGTGTTTGGCACAACCAGGACACAGAGATCTTCACACCTTAGACTTTGAGACAGCTGATGTAACTATATTCAATGGGAAAAGGAAAAATAAGCTGGTCATGAAAGTATTTGAGTTAAAACTGGTTAAAGATAACATGCAAGGGCTGGACAGATGGGTTAGTGGTTAAGAGAACTGACTGCTCTTCCAGAGGTCCTGAGTTCAATTCCCAGCCATGATGACATGGTGGCTCACAACCATCTGTAATGGGATTCGATGCCCTTTTCAGGTTTGTCTGAAGACAGTGACAGTGTACTCACATAAATAAAATAAATCTTATTAAAATAAAACAAAAACAAAAAGACAGAAAAACAAAAAGACAGCATGCAATCTACCCAGAGCCTGATGCCTGATAATCCCACCTTATGTCATCTGTTCATTGTGTCACCTTTCCTTCACAGGAGCACATAGGAAGTCTTAAGTGATGCCCCATCGGACTCAACACAAAGCCTTTAGGAGTGCAGCATCCTTTGGTGTGCAGCTCCAGGATAAGGCACAGTGCTAACTAGCTGGGCATGGTGATGCACATGTATTATCCTAGCAATCAAAGACTGAGCAGAAAGATCATGAGTTCAATGCCAGCCTGTCTATATTATTGCCACAGACAGGCATTACTGTGCAGCAATGTCCTCCAAATTAAAAGAGTGTCCTGAGGGAGGACAGAGGCTCCTAATATTTAGGAAATAAACAAGCTTTCAAGTTCAGGAAAGCCAAAACTCACAGGGCCTCTGCCTAGAGTATATACGAGAGAAATGACTTCTGGGAGGAGACTCTGGAACCAACTGAGCTGTCTGGAACAATGCTGGTTCTTGCCAGCTGCCTACAAGCTGTGTATCAAACCCTAGGGATCCATCTTTTGTGGGCTGTCACCTATGCCAGGGATGGCTGTGTGAGAATGCAGCGAGCTATTCAGGCTTTTTCTGAAACTCTCACTCATCCATTGATAAGTAACTCCAATGAATTCACTTGTCAAGCCAGACTGTGGGAGAAACGTCTCTTTGGTTGTGGGTTCATGCCCTATCGAGGGTGAGCAGACATTTGTTCACATCTTCTCAGGAAAGTCACACAATGGGCACTATTTTTAAAAGCTCAAGGTCAGCAAGAAGGCTTAGTGGGTAAACATACATGCTGCCAAGATGGACAACCTGAGCCTTGGGACTCATGTGGTAGAAGAGAACCAACTCCTGCAAATTGTCCCCTGACCTCTGCATGTGTGATATGGTATGCCCTCATGTGCACATATGTATATACACTCACACACGCAGAAATACATGCTGTACATTTACTAAATATGTTCCTTACTTAGTTGAATTACTGTCTTGAACTCTGGTAGCTGAATAACAACCATGCCCTAAGAGTTAGAGAGATGTGGAGACAAGTGAATGAAAGCCTTACTTCCTGCAGAAGCATACCACAGTCTCCTTAGTGCTCCTGCTAGCACAGCTGGATGTCTTACCAGAGAAGTGCTGCTCACTGAAGGTACGATGTTCTAACTGCAACCCATAACCCGGTAAACAAGCTTAAGTACAGTGAGAGCTCCCCTCCACAGTCATAAAATGCAAAACCACCTGAAAATGGCCATGTAGTAGGCAGGAAATTTCAAAACTAACATACAACTTACAAAAGTAAAACAAACAAACAAACAAACAGCCTACAAGTGAGCAGCTGGATTTCAGAGCACAAGCTCGTCTAGGCCAGCTAGGATAAAATGCACCTGAGTTTTCCAACTTTTCAAGTATCGCTTGGTTCTTTAGTAACCAGTCTTCTACAAAATAAAAGTAATAGAATTTCTAAGAAAGCAAAAAAATAAAATTATTAAAAATAAAGCTGTCAAGTACTATAAATGATGCTTCACAAAACGAAGAATGTTTTACAATAAAATCAAATAAAAATCAAATAGGAAGGAGGTTGCCAGGAAGAATCAGTACAGCAGCCTACCGTTGCTACAGGCTAGTGGAAAGCAAGTGAGCCTACTCTGGACCACTGTTGACTGTCTCATGACATCTGAACAGGATCAGGTGGTCCCAGGCAGTGCTGCCTGACAGGCACTTCCTTTCAGTGCTGAGAGGCCTGTGGAAGCCACCCCTACTGTGCTGCCCATGTACCTTATATTCCAGAGAGAGCAATGTCTCGGTCTTGCTGGCCCAGCTCCACCTGTGGACTATGTAGCCCTTATGGTCATTTGTGATCCCACCTTCTTCATCCAAAACCAAGACATATGGACAGCTGGGAGATACACAAAACATAGAAAGTACTTATAGGCCCTGAGAGAACCCCTTCATCACTACAGGTTATAGATAGGCAGGGCTGGGAGAGTCTGCCCCAGTCTGGAAGAAAGTTTCCCTGAACAATCTGAGGGAGGAAATGAAAGAGTCTAAAGACTCCTGTGAGCAGCTTTACCTCTCCACTTACTGTGGTCTAAGACTCCTAACACCAGTTGATGCTAGTGGGGGTGTCTGTGGAGAAGGGACAGTCTGACGCAGACAATGTATGCTCAAGTAAAACCCAAAAGATGAAAATTTAATTTTTTCTGTAGCCAAGGAGCCTGGTACAAAGATATTAAGCACCAAAATGTGAAGTAGAACATGTAAACTTGAAAGGAAGTCACTTCTTCCAAAAAACAACTTAGGAAAAGCCAGACAAAAATCAATTCTTGGGTGTCAAGAGTATGTGCTGCTCTTTTAGAGACCCTGTGCACGATGGTTAACCTGAAATGTCAACTTGATTAGTTTGGAAATGCCTAGATTTATGAGTGGATCATGCCTCTAGGTCTATCTGTGCATACAGAATTGAGCAGATCCTCAGGGCTCTGTCCTAACCAGCAGATTAATCCTTTGATGGGTTCATAATCATTAGTACTGGCATTATTAGGAGGTGGTGAAAGGCAGGAGGTAAGGCCTAGGTAGCAGAAGTTAGTCACTGAGTCATATCTTGAAGAGGGCAGTATTTTGCTTTGATCCTTTCCTGTAAGTTCCTTTGTCTATTTCCTAGATGAGACAGGATGAGAACCACCCTAATCCACTTTGCTGTGACAAACTATCATCTCTAAAACTGTGAGCCCAAATAAGTCTTTCCTTCTTAAAGTTACATCAGCTGCTTTGTCACAGTAACAAGGAAAGTAATGGAACACCACTCATCTTGTTCACCTACTCCTGGGGAAAGTAACTTTTTCTATTAAAGAATTCTTCCAGGTGTAAGAAATGGGGATGTAGCTCAGTGGCAGAGTGCTTGCTTAGCATTTATGAGGTCCTGGTTCTCAGGGCTGAGAACAACAACAAAAGTCCTGTGTGTCTGACCAAGAACGGACATCTTAGTGTCCTGGGGTACCCAGTGGGAGACTGGGAGTGGGTTCCTTCTCACTGTGCAAAATGCAACACAGATCCAGCAACTGGGCCTCCAAGTACAACATGTTCCTGTGGGACTGCCTCATCCTACCTCAATGCCTCCTTACACTCCTCCTTTAACTTTCAGTCACCACCTTACTTCCTGAGTCTAGACTTCCCTTGACCTACTCACCAGTTCTTCAGGTTGTAGTAAACACAGCCCAGGCCTTCAGCATTGAACAGAGCCAGGAAGGTATTAGGTATGTCATTAAAGAGGCAGGTGATGGGTTTCCCTCTGCAGCATGTGGGAATCTGAAGTAAGGCAATATTTCCAGAGGGATAGCTGGCAAATACAGTCAAGTTGAACTAACAGAAGATTCTCCAGGTGCTGGCCTCAGGGTCCTCTGAGACATGTGAAAGGATTCTTCTCCTGTGTATTGTTCCCTTCCTTCACAGATCCTGTCTGTGTTTTGCATGTGTCACAATTAAATAATTACAGAATCCAGCATGCTCCAGATCCTTCCTGTATCTAGTTCTTATTCCTCACATCACCTTAGGAGAGGTAGTCCTATCTCCGTTTCACACGTCAGTAGGCTTTTCACAGGTTTGGATGGTACTAGAGACATAGACTTTTAGTGCTAAAACATGAAGATCACAGGAAAACCAGAGTAAGGAGTTCACCTGAGTAAGAAATCAGAGAGGTAGAAAATGCCTTGTCCCACCTCATGCCACAATGAGTACAGAGCCAGCAGTATTTCTAGCACTGTCAGGCTGTCTCCTCCTTTGGCCAGTCTGGTAGGAAAATAATATCTCTCTGTTCCTTTCCTAGCTCAGAAGCCTCAGGAATCACTGATCCTTAGAAAGGCACAGTGTTGGTAGCTTCTTCTCTGTGTAGAACTGCAGAAGCAGTACTCCAGGTCGGAGGACTGTAGTAATTGGCCCTGCAACTCGTCTTCCTCAGTCTTTCCCACCAGCCAAATAAAAACAAATGGAAAGAGAGAAGGTGATCCACAGGTAGAAACAACACAAAGTAACCTATCTGAAATTCTAGAGCTTAGGTAGATAGTACAATGAGCAAAACAAAGACGTCACTAAATAAACACAACAGTAAATTAAACAATAAAATAAAAAAATTATTGTACTGGAAAGCCAATGAGCAGAAATTATTCAGACTGTAAAGAATAAACGAAAAGAAGAAACCCCAGGCCTGATAGCTCATGCCTGGAGTCCTGGAACCTGGGAGACTGAGGCAGAAAAATACTTGAGTTCTAGGCTAGCCTGAGCTGCATACTTTCAGGTCAGCCTGAACTACCACTATCTAACAACAACAATCCAAGAAAGAATAGAAGCTCAGGGCCCCTGGAAAGATCATCAGGCACAGCAACATATGCATAACAGGAGTTTCAGAAATCCAGGGGAAAGGAGGAGACAGAGAGGATATCCAAAGAAGTAATAATACACTGAATGAAGCTGGATATGTTTGTGAACATCTTTAATCCTAGAATTTGGGAGACAGAGGCAGGCAAATCTCTGTGAGTTCCAGGACAGCTAGAGCTACACAGAGAGTCCCTATTTCAAAACAAGAAAGAGAAGAAGAAAAGAAAATAATACTACCACCGCCACCCCACCCCCCAAAAACCTGGAGGGGACACAACACTTATTGACTTAAAACTTACCACAAATCTTTAATAATTAAAGCAATGTGGTCTGGCATAAGGATAGACATCAAAATTAGAACAGTGAATTAAAAATGAATCTAAAAATAGATTCTTCCATCTATAGTCAATTTATTCTTGCCAAGATCTCCAGGACCACTCAAAGAGGGAAAAGTGGTCTCTTCAACAAGGCACTGGGACAACAGGATATCCATGTGCAGAGGAATGGGCCGTTGCCTCATACAAGATGCAAATGCTGGCTCAGAATACCTCCAGGACCTATATTAAAAGCTTCATCTATAAAGCTGTTAGAAGGAAACACAGGGTAAATGTCACAAACTTAGATTTGGCAATGATGTCATGTATATGAAACCAAAAGCATTAGCAACAAAATGGGGAAATTTGGACTTCATCAAAATTAACAACTTTTGGGGTTAGAGGCAGAGCTCAGTGGTAGAGTGTGTTTGGCACACTGAAGCCTTGGGTTCAAGTATTAGCAACTGCCTCACCAAAATATAACCAAGGGATGAGCAAAGGGACTAGAACACACTGCAAAGACCATCTGCCAAAAGAGGCAAATGCAAAGTTATTCAGCATCACTGTTACCAGGGGATTCCAGCTGATTCCTGTGAAGAAGGGTAAACGGAGCACAGTTGGTTCTGAGGGCTGCACCAGGAGGTTGAAATCAGCTATGGCCTAAAAGGGACCACCACAAAGACCTATCATTTTTATCTCAGTTCTATGTGCAGAAACAGAATTGGTGGCTGTTGGGAGCCGACTCCTAGCTGAAAGCGGCTATCATCTTTGCAGCCATCTCAGGCCATATACCCTGACAAGAGTCTTGTTTTCAACAGCCCACAACAGCTGAGCACACTCTGATAAACATCATGTTTTTCTCACATATCTTGTTTTGCTGTTTAGTGCCGCCAGCAGCAAGGTGCACGTGGTCTCCACGCTGCAAGGCACATCACGTAGTGCCTTCAGCTGTGCTTGTCCACGAGGGCAAGGCACGTGGTAAAGGGTATAAATACCCAGGATTTCCTTCCAATAGAGAGACTTGGAGAGACTTGATCAGACTCCCTGTCTTGTCTCCATTCTTCGAATCTCTGTCCCCACTCTCTCTCTTGCTAGGCCCTGACCCGAGGACCGGAGCAGCAGAACGGGCCATTACAAAGTGACTCCCGAACGTGAGGCAGCTCGGGCGGCTACAGGTGGCTAAAGCCAACATTCTAGAGAAACCAGGTGGTGAAGCAAAGCTTCCCAAACACTTCCCTCAGGAGGGATGCAACAGCTAAGGTGCACCTTAGCCTTTGAACACACTGACACAGAACTTCTTTAAGATACTTGGTCCAACTCATTCATCATGTAACCAAGAGAAGCAAGGCACATGTTGAGGAACATGGACAGGGTCACTATGATGGCTGATGTGGACTGTCAGTGACAGAATTATGTAGGAGACAAGCCTCTGGGTGTGTCTGTGATGGTGTTTCCTCCCAGAGAGGTTTAACTGAGGTGCAAAGACCCATCTTGGATGCAGACATCACTATTCCATGGGCCAGGGTCCCAGACTGGATAAAAAGGAAGAAGCAAGCAGAACACTGGGACTCATCTCTAGCTGTTTTCTGGCTGTGATTCATGTGAACAATCACTTTACACATCTGCCACCAGGCCTGACAAGAAGGACTGTACCTTCATATTGAGAGCCAAAATAAACCCTTCCTTCCCAAAACACCTGGTATGGTGCCTTGTCACACCAACAAGACAAGTAATGAATATAGACAGAAACTGATCCTGGCCTCTGTGACTCCCAAGGAGAAAATGGACTTATTGTTAGGATTCCATCACTGTTGGAGTCACATTGAGTGTCCCTGTAACAATCCCCTGTTGGAGGGGATTCCATGTAGGGCACCTCAACATTCTGGGACAGGTAAGAACAAAGATCCAAGGCAACCCTTCTCCAGTGCCCTTGCTAGAAAGCTGACTTGTAACCATGTGTTGAACCTGGCTAATGCAGTGAAGAGTCAGAACTGGGGCAAGGGAGCCCCATGATCTCTCAAGCAGCAGCTTTCCATGGGCCATAAGGTCCCTGCAGCTGCAGGTCACAATTTACACATGTATGGATATAAACACACGTGCATATTTTTTGGAAGAGGGTCTACAGCGTCCATCAGTCATAACAGCTCAGCTGCAGGTCAAGCAAATGTTCAGCAAGTGGGATGAGGGCTTAGACTCCAAGCACTTGAACCTTAAAGGTGTAACACAAGGACCGCAGGGATAAAACTAGTAAATAAGGATCAGGGAAACAACCCTACCCAAACCGTTTAGAGATACTTCACCTTTCCTCCCACTGAAATGAATCACCCTGTTGGTAGCTTCCTCTCTCCTGGCAGAGCCTTGAAGGCAGGGATCTGCCTGAATGGACAAACTTCTCACAGGTATCAGGGGCTTGATATACTCCTGCTGATTTGAACTGTACTGAACTTGAACTCTGAACTCTTTCCTCAGTCCCTCCAGAGCCTGACCTGGACCAACACTTACCCCTGGAGCATCCTCACCAGGCTTCTCTAGTTGACCAAGAGTCCCTAATGAACAGTTAACTGTTTCAAGCCCAGGGCTTCTCTGGGACTAAGTTGGGGAGAAAGAGTAACACCCATCAAAAGGATATTAAATGAAGGAAGAGCCATCATAGAAAGTATAATGCAGCTTGATGGGCTTCTTGGGCCCCTTCCACTCTTGAGAATGGCGGCCCATTTGAGCATGCTGGCTGGAAGGCTGGTGAAGAGTGGAAGTAGCAACCTGAGTCCCCGCAGCAACAGGATGGTGAGAGTCCCCCTTGGAGGCCAACATTAAATGAGAGGGCATCTTTGACCTGTAGTTGCGTAAAATCATGGGGCAGGAGGCATTCCTCCCTCTCCACATGATCCTTTCGGCTTCTCTGTGGGAAGGAGATGAACGCATCTTCTAGGGGCTTGGTTCTCACTCTCCAGAGAGATTCTCTGTAGCCCCTTCCCAACAGCCAAGACTCCCAACCCCAGTCCCCGTGTCCTAAAGCACATATCCCAATCCTCTTCTTCCTCACATGCAAAGGTAGTGTTTTTAGGAGGGAGTGGGAAGGTGTCAGTGCCCTGGGAAGATCAGCCTTGTCTGACTGCTTGGTCTACAGAGTGAGGCTATGCACAGAGGGGACTCTGGAGCAGCTGGAGACAAACTACCCTTCACTCACCATCCTCAAGTTTCAGGTGGGTTTATTCTAGAATGTCACAGTACAGAAGAAAACTGGGTGGCTGCTCCTACCAGTGACCTGGCCCAGTGATCCCAGAAGACATAGATGGGAAAAGGGGCTGAATCTTTATGAGCTGGGCCATTAGAGAAATGGTTTTCTGCTAGGCATCAGACTATTCCCAAATAATTATACTGTGAATCACCTATGTGAATGAAATTGTTTTGAGAGATTTTTTTTTTCTTGAGCACCTAGCAAATTATGCCCTAAAATTACTACTTAGGGGACAAAGCCTATGAACTGCAAGGAGCCACACAAATGACTTCCTTGGGTGAGGGAGGATGTTGCAGAGGAAGAGACAGTTGAAGTTGAACAGGAGTGGGCTAACAGCAGGGCAAGCTCCAGAACTGCTTTATTTTCTTATCTGTAAACTGGATGGACCATGTTCTCTCTCTCTCTCTCTCTCTCTCTCTCTCTCTCTCTCTCCCTCCCTCCCTCCCTCCCTCCCTCCCTCCCTCCCCCCTCTCTTTCTGTCTCTGTGTGTCTGTGTGTCTGTCTGTGTATCTGATCTGTCTGTGTGTCTGTCTGTGTGTCTATGGGTAAAGAACACAGCTGGGCTGACATGGGGCATGCACTCACTGCTGTGACACCCATCTGTCCTTGTGTCCCATGTCCTGTGGACACCATCCCCATATCTAGGCACTCACATGTGGCGACACATATCCTGCAGCTTTTCCCGGGCCTCGGGGCAGGGGTCAGGCAACTCAATAACAGTGCTTTCAGGAGGGGTTCGGGCTCGGACAGGTGGAGGGGAGACATCTTCTACAGGCTTTGCCTTGGCTGTAGTTAGAGGTGAGGAGTTAGAGATACAGTGGGCTTTAAGGATGGGTCCTTGAGTATCACATTCTCCTGGGAAAGGGCTGTGGAACATGTTAGGAGGCTCTTTTGTGCTATGCTGCAATAGAGATCATTGACTGCTAACTCAGTCAGTCAATAATTAAAGGTACTTCAAAGACTGAGGAGCACAGTGATGAACAGCAGCAATAGCAATGAAGTGGCCCTAATGTCGATGCTTCCATAGTCCCCTATAACCAGTCCCCTTTTACCAAGAACAGTGAAGCATGAGGAAGACAAGTCACACAGGCAGCCAGGATGGGTGAAGAATTGGCTTCAAGCTTCTCAACTTCTAGCCTTACCTCCAATATCTGTGGGAATAAAAGGGATAGCATGAGCCAACCCTGACCCTCCTTCACTACCCAACCCCCCACACAGACACACACCTGTCTGTCTAGCTCATCTGTCATCAGAGTCAGCAGGATGGATGGAAAGTCCTGAGGCCTTTCCTATTCTCATCAGGTTCCTCCCACACATAGCTTCCCTCTGGAGCTTCTTCTTCTCATTTGCTATCTATTTCCCCTGACGTTCCCTCCCTTCTGGGTGGGACTCTTTTCTACAGGGCAGGGGAGTCTTCTGTAGCTCTGCTTCCTGCCCACACACATAGTAGTCCCTTCTGGAACAGAACTGGAGCCTACTAAGTTTGGGATACAAATACCACTATTTCCCTAATGATGGTGTAGCTGGACAGAGATGTCTCATTCACATTTTGGATACTGTCTGGGTTAAAGGACTAGATGGAGCAGGGGAGCCCCAAGGGGAACAGAACACAATTGTGATGCTGTGACTAGATGTGCAGCAGCTCTGGAGTGCTTAAGAGGACCTGTGTGTCACATGCTGCTGAACCTCTGTGACTGAAAATGCTACTTTTTCCTCACCTTTCTTCCTGCTTTCCTTTCCTGTGGAGAGGGAGAAGCTCAGACAGGCTGTGGAAGTCTGGTAGACCAGCTGGTAAGGTGTGTTCACTCCCATAGCAGAAACGTTCATGGAGGATTCTAGGGAAGAAGAGTGAGTCTTCTTTACCGTATTTAAAACTTCAGCTAAATTATAAAAATGTAAAGTATTCTTCTCTTTTAAACAGTGGGCCAGCTCTTCCAAAGTTACCCATAGTCATAAACCAACCAGGACGTCTTGTGAGGAAAGAACTCATTCTGTTGCTCACTAGAAAACAGTATCTGCATGGACCACAGTTTGTCTTCATTGATGGACAGTTGTTTCTAATCTTTCTGCCCCTCCAAACGATGCTGTAACGAGCATTCTTGTAGGGCTGCTTGTATGCATGGAGCTGAGTTATGGATCGCATTGGGAGCTGATTCCCATATACCATGAACAGGTGAGTTTAGACACAGAGTGCCAGGATCAACAGCAGTCTGAGGAGTGACCTCATCACTTTGACTCTATGTACTAAAGGGCTACTCTGCAACGGACTGAAAATTTTAAAACCCCAATGACAGACTGCTAAGAAGCACACCCTAGGAAGGGCCTGAGGGGCTAGACTGTGAGTTGTGAGGTGCAGACATTTCCACCAACAAACAAACAGACTGCCCTCCGCCAGAGGTGTATGAGCTCTCCTTGCCAGCAGCACAGCATCTAGAGCTGCTCCACGGCCGCCTCCACCCTTGGGAGCCTTTACCTTTCTATCATCTTCTTGTCAGCACTGTTTGTACTTCTTCCCTACAGGAGGACACCCACCTTTCGCCAGCTGTGCTGCACTTAGGCAGCTTTTCCCAATAGTGCCAGTCAGGCAGTCAAAGGCCATCTCCTTCGCATTGAGATGGAGGAGCTGGCTGGCTTCCACAAAGCGCTTGGTGATGTCCAGAGGATTGGCACCTGCTGAAGGAATAAGCAAAGGCAGTGTTTTCCTCCTGGCATAGATGACTCTTCCAGAAAAAGGCCTTTACAAATGGCCCAGGAAATCCAGGTGAAGAAGACCGTACGTCCTTCTGAGGTAAAGATGAGGAGCTCCTGATACGCATGCTTGGTTGGACAGAGTTCAAGATCCAACAGGCAGCACCTTGCTCCCAGCCTACCTGCTTGCCTGCCCTCCTGCTCCTCTACCCCTGTCCCCCTGCCCAGCTCCCTGCCCCCTGCCTGCCCACAGCTGAGCACTGAGGACACCTAGAGGCTGCTGCTGACAATGCTTTAGGTTCTTCCCAGCCCTCAGTTTGGAGGCACTGGGCTCTCAGAATTCCTTTGGCATTGGTTGAGCCAGACTCTTGATTCACAATTCCATATCTCCACTCATCAATGAAGCTCTGTCCACCTGTGCACCATCACCCCAAACTCTCCCGTCAGCACTGCCAACCTCTCACTGCCACCACTGCTAACTTTTGAATGGGCACACCAGAGATGGGAGACTGGAAGGAAGGGACGGTGCAAGAGCAGGGAGGAAAGGGGAGGGTACTGGCTAGGGAAGAAGGAGGTGCACTTTTTGCAGCAGACTCATGGCCACCCCACCCCCATTCCTAGTGCATACTTATACTAAGTATCCCTTATCCCAAGGCTTAGAACCAAAAGTGTCTGGGGTTTAGGGGAGGTTGGTGTTTTGAAATGTCTTCCTGTACATACTGAGATATATGGGGATGGTACTCAAAAGACATGGAATTCTCAGATGCTTCTTGTGCAACCTATATACAGATTGAATATTGTCTTACATGTAAATTATCATGCACTGTCAATGAACTATTCTACTGTGGTATCATATGGGCACTCAATATCCTTCAGACCACAGACTTTAGATTTTGTATGCTCAACTCATACCTGTTGGGTACATGTGGTATAAACACACATACACCCTACCTAGCTATGTAGAAACAGAGGGAAATCTGTGAGCAGTCTTACCAGAGGCAGACTCCACCATGGCCTTCATCTTCAGGGAAAGCAGCTCTGTCAACAGGTGGATAGATTGCCGCTGGAACTTGTGCAGGGTATCTTGGCCATTAGGCATCAGTCGAGCAGGGGTGGAGGGAGTGGGCATGTTTTTGCTCTCCCTGGTGGCTGCGAGCAGTACTGGAGGTGGTGGAGCAGGTTGGGGCTGCTTCTTCTGCATGGGGAGGACCTGCACTGGGTGCACTGGGATCACTTCTGCAAGCACCACTGCAGGAGCTCCAAAGGAGATCACCAGATCCTGAATCTCAGATGCAGTGGGCACTGCAGGGTCGCTGATGAGCTCCTCCCAGGTGAACTCAAAAATATTCCTAATGCCTTTGGGGATGGAAATGCCTGCGTTGCGGCAAACAATGAGGAGTTTGGAGACGTGAGCCAACAGTTTGGGGGCTGAGGCTGAGTATTGCAGGTACAGTTCTCGGTTACTTTTGACGTGGTTCATGTCGTCTGGGCAAGCATACTGCTAGGTGACACTGTCCATCTCAAAGGAGAGGGACACTCAGCTGTAAAGACTCAGCACTCTGACAAGTGAAGAGATGGATCAGAAGCTCTTACCTACAGAGAAGTCTTAGGAAAAGATGGAGTGCATATGCAGAAATCACCCTCAAAGGTCACTGAGTCATCAGTTTCTGTCTCAGAGGGATAAGAAGGTTGCTGGTCATTCTTTCATGCTAGAATAAAGCATTGCTCCCCTCCCTCATCTTCCCAGGAACAGCAATGTGAGTGGGCTACACTGGAACAGGCCTGCTGCTGAGGATGGGTCCAGAAAAGTTCCAGAGAAGGTAACAGAAACTGAGTACCTAAGGTAGGATCCTTGGGAGCTAGATGAACAAAAAGGGCCAGGGCAAGGAGGGAAGTCTCACCACACCTTTTGTAGTTAGCGACCTGAGGGTGGAAGATCTGCCTGTGGTCTACTGACAAACGCCTGTAAAAACAAAAGGATGGCATTGGCTCTCTCCAGAGACAAGGAACACAGGAACTCCTGGTCACAAACCTGTGGTGGGCATCCGATTGCTCGACATGCATAGACAGTAAAGCCTGAAGGACAATGCAACCCCACAGTTCAAAATCCGATACCACAGGCCACATCCCACCAAGCCTAGGACACTAACAATTGGAAATGCACTGTCAGAAGAATGCCATTGACTGGAAGATGTATCACTACAGCAGAGATGTTACAGTGTGGAAAATTATACCCTTAAATTAGTGGACCGTGGGAAGCATTTTCTCTTGTTAACAGAACAAGGTCTCTCTGTGTTCAAGTAAACATTGGGGGAGCCTTGAACTTAGCAGATAACACATTTATGAAAACATATTTTTCTGGATTTTATGCTATACAAATTCTTTTGGATCTTATGCTACATAAGAACAATGCCTGATTGCTTATTTCTGAGGGCCTTCATGAGAATATAAGCCTCTACAGAAGGACAACGTGCAGGAGTGTCCATTGAAAGAAACTCAAGCAGGACTTTCTTTTCTCTCATGGCCTTTCCAGCATCTTCCTTCAGTGCTGGCTCTTCTTTGTCATCTATCCAGACGCCAACCCAGCATCTTCACCACGGTGTCAATCACAAGAGCAGAGGGCAGGCTGCTAGCTGCATCCTCTTGCCATCCTTGACGTCAGTGCAGCTGACTAGTCATCTCTTTTTCCACTTTCCATCCTGACCAACCACTTTTCTGAACAGGCAGTTCTCTTTGCCTAAGAGCTCTAACCTAGGGAGCCATCCCCAAGGTCACCATTCCAGGATAGTTCCTCAGGTAAACACCTGCAGAGCTTACACTGAAGGTCCATGGCACTCCTCTCCAAGACTTTTGCTGATGAGGAACCAGAGCCCTTGATTGGGAGATGGCTGTCCCTAGATTCAAAGCATGGAGACTTTTGCAAATACTACACCACTTTCCCTGGCCTTTGAGCTATCTTTGCCCATCTATCAGGAACAAAGTTCCCAAACAACAAGAGTCCCATAGGACAAAGCTAACATTCTACAGGCTTGAAGACAAAGTGGCTTCCTGTGTCTATTTGCTGACCCCTGGCATTGCCATTTCTCAGCTTTGGAGACACAGAAAAATAGATTTGTTCTGGAATGATTAGTCCACAGAACAAAGATTCCATTCAGAATCTCAGGCAGCAAGGCACCAAGCCAGAGAGGTCTGACCTTAACTATACAGGGCAGATGATGATGATATTTCTTCCCCCATCACTCCCACCATCTCCCCAGCCTCCTCATTCCTCTTCAGTCAGGACTCAAATGAAGAAAAGAGGATGATTAAGCAGCCGCTAGAATTGTTCAATGTTAACTGTTTGGAAAACTTCTCCCCTGTCCTCCTTACTGGTTCCTACCATTTGAAGTTAATTATGAAGACATGCCATACAAATAGATAAATGTATATATGAGTGGTTATGCACAGATGTATGTGCATGTGCATACAAGCACCAGAAGGCTAGAGGTCAATCTTAAGTATTGTTCCTCAAAAGCCATACACCTTGGTTTTTTTCTTAGTGATACTTGGGAGTCACTTTCAGGCTAGACCAGATGATCAGTGAGCCCCAAGAATCTGTCTCTCCCCAGTACTGAAATTACACTACCTACTACAAAACACACTACCACACATGGCAAATATGGTACTGGGGGTGGAATCCAGGTCCTTACACTTCACAGCAAGCAAGATATCAACTGAGCTATCTCCCAATGCCCCAGATTTAGCTGTTCTGGAATTTAATATAAATGGAATCATGAATTATGTTGTCCTTCTTACCCCAAGGAGCTATTGGCATTTGATGGCTACCAGAGGAAGAAGTCGTGTTTGTCCAAGGATACAGCCACTGGTATGTTTCACGTGTACCAGTTGTACCCACACCCATGTACATACCAGCTGCACTAACTGGTCTTGGTGGGCATGGTGGTTTAAATGAGAAGTATCCTATGCTCATGTATTTGAACACGTGGTCCTGAATTGGCAGCACTATGTGGGGGGAGGTTATGGGAAACTTTAGGGAAGTACAGGCTTGCTGGCAGAAGTTTCATGGGGGGTTGGCTTTGAGGGTTTATAGCCAACTTATCCAACTTCCTAATCTCTCTCTGTCTCTCTCTCCCTGCTTTGGGTGGTATAACCAAAATACATTATATGCATGAATGAAATTCTCAGAAAAATATATATGTGGTCCTTTGTGATGGTTTGTTTGTCACGATGCTTTTAAATTTTATCCATGATAGTCTAGGCATGGTGGCACACGTTTAACCCAGCAATTTGGGAGGCAGAAGCTATCGGATCTCTGAGTCGAGGCCAACTTAAGTCTACAGAACAAGTTCCAGGACAACAAGGGCTACACAAAGAAATGCTGCCTCATAAAAAATTTTTTTTTTCAGTCATGAGCTAGAGACATGAGTCAGCAATTCAGAGTGACTCAGGTTCAATTCTGAGCACCCACATGGTATCTCACAGCCGTCTATAACCCCAGACCTGGGGTATCAGACCCCTCTTCCAGCCTCTTCTGCCACTGCACAAAGAGTACACAGACATATCCAGACAAAACACTCATATATATAAAACATATGATTTTTAAAAATTTACCCATGTGGCAGCATGCATAAATACTTCGTTACTTTTTGGATTGTATTGCTGTTTGTTGAGACAGTTTCACTGTTGCTTTGGCTTGCCTGAAACTATGAAGACCAAATAGCCTCAGTACTCTCAGAGATCCAACAATCTCTACCTCCTGAGTGCTGGGATTAAAGGCATGTGTCATGGGGCTAGAGGAATGGCCCAGTGGTTAAAAGCACTGGCTGCCTTTCCAGAGGCTCCCAGTTCAATTCCCAGTACCAACATGGTGACTCACAGCCATCTATCTATAACTCAGTTCCAGGGGATCTGATGTCCCCCTCTTAAGAGCACCAGGCATGCATGTGGTACATAAACATATTTGCAGACAAAACACTCATACACAAAATAAAATTAAAAAGCATGTAACACCATACCAAGCCTTGTTTTACAGCTTATCATTTTGTTTGTGTGTATGTGTGTGTGTGACATGTATGTGAAGGTCAGAGAACAACTGTATAGAATTGACCCTCTCCTGCTCTTACATGGGTTCAAAGGGTTGAACTCAAGTTACCAGCCTTGCATAAGTATTTTACCTGTGAGCTATCTTGCTAACCTTTATATTATTTGTGTGTAGCAGGGGAACACATGTATGGGAGGGGACATGTGTGTGTGTGTGGTGTGTATGTGTTTATGTGTGTACGTGAAGGCTACAAGTCAGTTTTCAGTGGCTTTCTTGATTGTTCTATTTCACATTTTTCTTAGACAATGTTTTTTCACCAAAACTAGAGCTCACTGATTGGCTACACTGGCTGGCCAATGAACATTAGAGATCCTCCTGTCTTTGTCTCTCCCCATCCCTATCACTCCCTCACACCACACTGGGGCTGTAGCTGTGTCAGGCACGAGTGATAGGGAGCAGAACTCAGTTCCTCATTGCTTTCAGAGAGACATTTTATTGATTGAGCGATCTCCCCAGGGCTCAATGTTTGTCTTTCTGAAGAACTCCCAGACTTTACCAAAGCAGTGACCCTGCTTCCCAGTCACCAGCAATGTTATGGCGGTCCCGATTTCTATATGCCCTTATGAACAATTTTGTCACTATTATTGTTTTGATTCTATTTTGTCTGGTGGATGTGAAGTTAGTGGTTGGATTACAATCCCATGTGTCTAATGACATTAAATACTTTTCACATGCTAATCAGGTTTTTTTTTTAAACTTAAAAAATATCTACTCAGATCTAAAGGCCACTTATTTTTTAAATGTTATTTTAATTAAAAGCACAGATAGTATATCTTAAAAATTTGTATAAAAAGTGTCTTACTACACTGTACCTATAAGATGAGGCTGTTGTGTAGACTTACCTTTAAATGAGTCTTATCTTTAAAGACATAATTTTTTTTTTATTTCATAGGGGGTTACAGTTAAGAGATTGCCTTAAGTCTCAGTAAAACTTTGGGCTTTTAAAAAGTGTTGGGATTAAAAGACTTCAGGAACTTTAAAAGCTGGACTGATCTTTAAAATCACTCACTGCCCTGCTCATGTGGCTTGCCTGGAATGGATGAGATGGGTATATCTTTATCTCTAGCAGCCATTTTGAACCATGAGGTTACCTTGAAAAAGGCAGTTATGAGCTAGGGGTAGCCATACAAGACAATAGAATCTAGACTCCTGATAACATTGTGGAATCCCATGCCATCTTTTTACCTGTCTCCAAACTTCTCTCACATGGGAAGATGAGGCCTTTGCTTCTTTTGTCTACAAGCCCCTTCCTCACTCAGATTGCTACTCTTGCCATCAAATGTGATTTCTGAGTAGCCATTTTAGGTCGTCCCAGTGCTCCTCCTTGTCTACCTAATTTGATTCTGCATTCAATTTTCCAGGATTGAGATATGAGTCTTTCCCTTGAGAAACTTGATGTCAAAAGTAAGAATGAAATGAAACTGGCTTACAATAGGAATCACACTACAAAAAAAAAAAATGTGTAAAGGCCATGGACATCTATATTAGTTATGTTGCTATTGCTGTGACAAAATGTCATGACCAAGACAACTTATGGAGGGAAGGGCTTCTATTTGGGTTTATGGTTCAGGAAGATAAGCATCACTGTCACCATGGGGAAACACGGGCAGCAGGAAAGCATGATGGCAGGAACACTGAGAGTCACCTTCCAAACGTCAAGCAGCAAGCAGAGCAAACTGGAAAGGGCACATGTCTTTAAGCTCCAAAGGCTGCCTCAATGACATTCCTAAGGCTGCCCCACAACTGTGCCACAAACTGGGGGCCAAGTCCTCACATGCCTGTGAGTATGAGGACGTCTATTGTTCAGGCTACCACAGCCCGCTCCCTAGCGGCCAGTCTCATAGTCTCTACATAATGCAAACCATCAGCCCAACCTCTAATGTCCCTGCAGTCTTTCAGGCCCAACACTTTTTA